CCAGTTCATACATGTGAAAGAAGATCAGACATGGTTAGAATCCATGTTGATCTGTAACAGCTTCCAGTTGGTGACATTTAAGTGAACTTGACAAGTGATGATGAATTTTAATATTATTTTTAGCTGCTGAATATGTTAAAACCTTGTTAGCTATATTAACATTCTACATTCTTCTCAAGCACAATTATTGATCATGTTGACCTGTTAAGTCAGATATTACCAATACTTACTGTACTGGACAAAATGTGTGGTCATGAACTATATCAGTGCTGCATTGTTACAACATGAATATAAAAATATCAGACACATACATGTATGATATATTTAATTTAGCAGAAATGATGAATATGTAGTAAGCATGGTGAAAACTTGGAATACAGTGATCCCTCGCTACAACACTACCTTTTGGGTCCAAATAATTTATTAGTGTCATAGAAGATCAGCGGTTTAGCCGTGGTGGAGTCGTAGGGGTCGATGACGAACACAACAGTACATGCTCTGCCTACCTAATACAATAATTATAAGAACTATAAGCATAGCACTTTCGTACAGCTGATTGCTATTGTAGGATGTATTTTATGTATGGAACAATTTTATCAGTCACAGTTGGGACTTCCCGTGCTACTTATATAACTTTTGATGAGTCAAAGTACGTCATTTTTGATTAATGTATCCATTCTCTGTCAACTAAAGTTCATTTCAAGGTGTCAATAGCGGGTATTTTTGGTGTTACAAACTTGTGTTGATCAGCTGGTAATGTTTTTTTACAAAGGGGAAAAAACACTCTGTTGGTGTAAAACTTGAGTTTATTAAAAATGTCAGTAAATTTGGGGCGCCGCCATTACTGCGCACATATTGATGGGCACAGAAGTGAGGGAACATTTTATTAGGAAAGTTGAATAGTCAGTAACATGCTTGGATGGTTATTGTACGATTGAGAGCAAATCCAAGCGCTAGGACAAGTGATGCTGCTTGAGACAAATTACATTAGAACAACCTAATGATTTTATCATATATTGATAGGACATTCTTATAAATCATTACAAATACTGCTTATCATTTGGAAGACAATCAGTCAGTAAGTCCTGCACCATGACGGTGGAATATCATCCCTCAGGGGCAAGGGCGTTAACTGACTAATGAAGTAGAGTTTCCACCCTTGCCCAACTATAGCTGGAATTTCCATGCTCGATCGTTGCACCACCAGTGGCTATTACAAGTTACGTCCCTTCAGATTCCACCTCTCATATCACTTGCAATTGCTTCAAACAAAACAATGGCAGCGCCCAGTCAAGATGATGTGATTGATACTCAAGATCTTTTTGTAATAAAATGGGTCTATCTCGCGAAGTGCACCAAATCATTTGAACACCTTGATTGGAAAACATGAAATGATTTGGAAAATATCTGTTGACACACAGTTGGTGGTACACATGCTTTGGAAAACCTGCAGTTAACAGAAATCTGCATGTTGAAATCCATGTTGTTTATGAACCGGATCTTTAGTTCGTTACATGATTTTGATTGGACTATGCAAAGACTCGTTAGTCCAGCCAAAAGGTAACTCCGGAATTCAAGTCTAGTTCAGAAAGGGTGGAAACTAGACTTTTATGGTCAGTTAACGCCTCTGCCTTGGGAAGATGGTGGAATTTAAGTATATTATGAAAACATTCTACATTAGTATTAAAGCAAGTCGAGACAGCTCTATTTCACATATGAAATCAGCACCAGGAAAAAATTATTTAAAAAAAAATTTGTGATGCGAGAAATGTATTGCTGTTAGTCTAGTCAACATTGTTTTGTTATTGATGATGAAACTGAAACCCTAATGTCATGACATTCTTCACATGAAAAAGACACAGGCAAACAATTGAGAAATAAGATGTTATCACCCTTTAAATTCATGTAGAAAGTAAAGGCAGATCAATTCTTAATAATAATAGACAGGTCCTACTTGAGACATGCTGAATAAATGCTCTTCTTTAAGTTGGAGCAGTATGCATTAAAACTTTAGTATTTATGTTCCAGTTATCACTTATCAATGAAATAACTGCTTGTATTAACATGATTAAGTATATTTGCTTTTCTGCGGTATGGAGTCTCTTTTGTGTCCATTCTGTTTTGTCAAGTGGGACCACAGTGTAGTGTGTGGGAAGCCTGACACTCATTGGCTGGCTGAACACACCTCAGTAGCTAGCTGCCACTATGAAGGCATAGACAACTACCAGTACAACTGTAGGCCAAGTGTGTGAAGTGCCAGACATTCTACTTGTACAACTATGTGTGAAGTGGCTGACACTCATTGACTGCCTCAGTAGCTGGCTGTCTGCTGTGGTGGTCATGAGCTGGCGACACTGACTGCCACACAGCTGATTGTGGATGTGGACATGAGCTGGCAATACTGACTGTCACACAACTGTCACATCATTGGGAATTTGACAGTTTAGAAGTTAATGATAGCTAGCACACACACAGCATGTATATTATGTAGTATGTTTCTTGGAATCAACAGATCAAGTTGGCATCAAATAAGTGTTTTGCTTTAACATGATTAAACTTTACTTGATATCTCTGGTGTGATAAGTGTAAAAAGTCATGTAAAAAACATACAATATCAACACTTGGTGTATTCTGCAGGAATTGTAAAATAAAAACATGATGTAAACATGGTTAACCAAAAAATGTATTTTGTTAATGAAACCCCAGTGCTATTTTTACAATATACACAGTCCACACATAAGTATGTTGAATGCAAGAGTTAAGATCTCAGCAATTTAATGTCCCATATATTACATCGATGTCAAGCGTTATCATCAAGTAGGATAAAACGGTATTTGGATAAAAGGCATTGTACAGCTGTGAGCATTAGACACTGTCCTCCATTCCCAGGGATGAAGCAGTGGCACTCAGTTTGACCAGCTAACATGGCTATAGGAAGAAGACAAGGAATCTATCCCATCTATGTCAAGCAACAGTCAATAATACATGTCCTCCATAGTTAATCCTGTTAGCTGAGAGTTAGCCTCTATCAGTGACCAGCCTGGCTGAAATCGACCCATGTCAACTCCCATTGCCACAAAGACAGGCCATTGTGTGACTCGCCTCACTAGCAGGGAGCAAACTGGCCCATGTCTGATGGAACAAAGGCTGCTGGGCTTAATCTCTCTCCTCCACAAAGCCTGGTGACCCCTAGATAAGTGACCTTTCTTTGCAAAGGGGGTAGCAGGCTAATTGACTGAAAGGCTGGTCCCCCTTACACTTTGATAAGGATATCATCTTCAGGTGATGTACCCTGACTGCAGGTGTCCATTTCGTCAAGGTAGATAAGGGTGGAACCCCATCCAACACCTGATAAGTGAGATACCCAGGTTGAATGAACAATCTTTTCTTTCAACCCCATGGTGCTCCTGCAATGCTGTGAAACTGATTGACATTACACACTTAGCATGCTGGGATCAAGCTAAGCAGATTAAGATGTAACTGTCCATGACAGTTGTGGTCCGCTACTTGCTTCACACCTATCGCTATGAGTTACGTGTTTGGTAGAGGGGTGTACTCGAACATTCAGTAAATAAAATTCTCTTCACCCTCCAACAAGCCTAATGTCACAGATTTCACAACTGCCTAACATTTTGTTATTATTGAAAAAAATTGTGTAAAATTATATCCATCTCTTTGGCCAGTCATGATGTTATGTTGTCTGTCAAGAAGAGCCAGTGGCATATGAGGCAGCTAGATTGTAAATTGAGGAATGATAGTACTAAGGGAGAGACTTTATGGATGTCACCTTCTTTATTATGAGGAACACAACATTTTGGAGTATATATTTACTCCTTCATCAGGTGAACGTTGTCTTCCTCATAACAAATAAGATAACATCCATCAATTCTCTTCCTGATGTTTATTACTTCTAAATGCCCTTCAAAGACTTAATTATCTTACTTTCTATGGATCAAACTAAACTCATCATGAAAATGTGGTACTTAAAAGAACAGACCTGTCAAAGCTTTTCACAACAAACTATGGAGCTGAAAGGCCAATAATGCAACAGTTGCCTTAACAGTCACTGAAGGAACTGGGTGCTAATCAATCATGTTGATATTTTGAAATTCTGTAATCAATTAAAGATACGTCAGGTGATCATGGTGATCTCATTTTGTTTTTTTTATGCTGTATTCCCATTTCCAATTTTTGCTCAATACCCATGAGTTATTTTGGTAGAAGAGGAGGGAGCAATTTGCAAACATAAAGATTTATTTACACAAATTAAAATGTTTCACCAGCATTCATGTCACAGTGTGCCAAATGTCAATGGCGAACAATTACTCCAAGATTTAGACCTCCATGAGGTATTGATTGTAGCATTTCCAAATTGGACAGTTAGATTTCACCTGAGTAATGAAGTCTGCGAATCAGTTGGAAGGACAAGGGAAGTATGGTTCCTTCCTGAAAAGAAAGGGGGCATGGGTGGCCCAGTCATCTAAATTTGCTGTGCAGAGTTTCATCAAAGTAACATCATAGATACACCATGAAATCTAGGATCATTTGTTCAAATCCCAGTCCACCCCAATTGTGTTTCTAGGTTTGTCACACCATACAGCGCTAATAGGTTTCGCAGAAGTGGTAAATGTTGAGACCTACCTCACTTCGTGCTGTTCTCAAACATGAAGCTGATACGCCATGATGTAACTGTAATACTGTAAACCTGTAAACTCATTCACTTACTCTTGAAAAGAAAGTTGGACACATACTAGTTATACACACTACTCACACTTTCCAATGTATCTTGTTTCTAGTGGGTGGGGTTTAAGGAGGTAGGAACTAAAGTTTGGTTTCAATTTGTGAAATTATCATCTTTAACATGTAACACTTTTATAAAGCACTGATAGCTCTCTCCCTTTTACAATTATATCTAACTTACATTGGACCAGCATGTCATTGAAGAGAAAATACATGGTTTATATGTTGACAATATTCAGAGAATGTGTTTCCCATTTCAGGAGTTCCATGTCGCCTATGTGTTCATCAAGATGGCCAACTCCCCCAGGCCGGGAGTCTGGGTTCTGGAGAGATCCACAGATTTTGGCACCACATACCAACCGTGGCAGTATTTTGCTGACTCCCCAAGTGACTGTCTCAAGTTCTTCCACACCCCTGCCAACACCAGCATTGGACGTGACAATCAAATTCTCTGCACAACTGAATTCTCCAAGGTCGTTCCTCTTGAGAATGGAGAGGTAATGTCACCACACTGTTTAGCCATGGCTACTTATAATGCACTATATACAGACACTGCAGGACTGACACCAGGTTGTATTCATAAGTAGTCACGACTGGGTGTACACACATGTAATGCAGTGTAATATTTTTATTACATTCACCATAATGATATGTCATGCATTTACTGAGAATACAAAGAAGTAATTCTGTAACCAAGCCAATCAGCCCGTTTCAAGGTGGTCAGAGTTCATTGACATGGCCCATTGGTGCCATGAAATGTATTTCTAGATGATTACTGCAACAGATACCCAGGGTTGATGACCAATTTGAAAGAATTTCTCTTTTATTTATTTGATTTTATGACTGTACAAGTTTTCTGGTAACTGCATGGTTCTGTTTTACAGATTGTGGTTTCGCTTGTTAATGGGAGACCCAATGCCCAGAACTTCTCTTATGCGTATGACCTCCAGGAGTGGACGAAGGCTACTAACATCCGAATGAGGCTGATCCGCACCAAAACCCTTCTTGGCCATCTGATGGCTGTAGCCAGACGGGATCCTACAGTCACAAGGAGGGTAGGCTGGAGCTTGTTGCAGCAATATGTCATCTATTCATTGGAGTGCTTGGATACATTTTTTAAGTCACAATATCTTAAACTAATATGTTAAAATTACCATGTTACATTTCAGATTCTATTTACCATTTGAACTTGGAAATTAGCTCTTTGAACATGTAGTATTTTCATTGTAATTACCATTAATTTATTTGATATATCTAACATGTTGAAAGCTTAAATTGTACGTAACTACAAATGATGAAGTATTAAGTTTATATGATGAGTTATCACTTTAGCTTTGGCCATTGTAGATAAAATTGGAAAAAGATGCTCTTAATTTTATGCCTTGCTGTTCTCCCTTACGGACAGAAAGTACCACATAGCAAATAAATATCAAATGTGTTTCATTATCACTCATGGTTTTCTCACTTGATCATGTTGATAGATGAGTGAGTTTTCTCACTGAGTGCCAGTTCCTTGTTATCAAATCAAAACCAGTGTCTTGACACAACAGTTTCCTTTTCCATTATCGCAGATGTTGTCTATTATTGTTATTAACCTTGCATGTTTTAATCTCCACTCCAGCTGCAAGTCAGTCCAGTAGTCAACAAGTTTCTTTTCTGTCCTAATCTGGAGCATGTTATACATGATTAAACCAAGATCCAACTCTTTCCAGTACTACTATAGTATCAAGGACATCTCCATCGGAGGCCGATGTGTATGCAATGGTCATGCCAACACGTGTGATCGCCCGGACCAAAACGATGCCAACAAGCTCCTCTGCAACTGTGTGCACAACACATGTGGAGATCAGTGCGAGTATTGCTGTCCAGGCTTTGTGCAGAAAAAGTGGCAGCGTGCTTTAGCAGATCTGCACTTTGACTGTGAACGTAAGTTTAACAATAAAATTAATGCAATATATTGAGGTGAAATGGTAAATTGGCTCAACCTGTAATGTGTCCTCCTGAATTACACACGAGATTGTAACATGGTGAAAACTTGTAATCAATGTGATGAGCCTCATTCACCATGTTATCAAACTCGACGAATACGGTGAAACACATATAACATTATCAGTTACAAGTTTCCCTGTAGGGCAGGTGTGCTTTACAAGTACTGCTTCAGTCTGTAATTTTAGCCACTAGTCTGAAATGTGGTTCTAGTAAAATTTCTTCTGGCCTAGTAACTGTGGTAAGGTCAGTTTCATTTAATGATTTAGTCCATATGCTGGGAATATAAGAAAATAATGTGAAAATAACATCAAAATACGAGTCTAGGCTAGTAGACAAGCATGTTAAAATAGGACTGAGGTAAAGTTTAATTTATTATTGTTGTTGTTCAGTGAAAGCTGTATATATTCTAGACCAATCAATGTGTCATCATGTCAGATGAGGTTGGGAAATCACTTTTATATGTTATACTGGTAAAAGTGTTGTAAGTATCTTTACTTTTGTCATCTTTATGTTATGTGGTGTGGCCGAGAGGGTAGATTACCAGACTGTCCTGTGGAATGTCTAGGTTTCTGTCCTTGACAGTCATAAATCTCCTGCAAGTTGCGCAAGAAATCAGTCTGAATGATACATGATATGCAGGTGAAAGCATTGCTTTTTGTTCACCTGCTTCTTGTTGTCCTTGCAGCATGCCAGTGTTACGGCCACAGTGACGAGTGTGTGTACGATGAGGAGGTGGACCGACTGCGGCAGAGTATTGATATCAAGGGCAGCTATGAGGGCGGCGGCGTCTGCCAGAACTGCAGGGTGGGTGGTTGAAGAAAATTCAAAGTAACAAACACTTTGATCATGATGATTTGTGAAAACCATTCCTGTGTTCATGCATGTATAATTTTTTAATGTGAAGTTTACGAGATATACGGCTTTCCATCGGACGAGATGTCGATCACATGACCGTGAAACTGAAGTTCATAAGTGTATGAAGGACACATTTTGATGTTCATCCATTTTTCACGAGACTTTTCTCTTCCATAGCACGATTAAATGCAATACCAAAAGCGGGTAACCAGGCAGGGTCGGGTAATAGGGTGTCGGTGGTAAATTTGGACTCGCCCCAGCCCTAGTGCTGACCATTGCTCTGTTCATACAAATGGTGCTGACCGTTGCATGCTTGCATATCTATTTAGTGCTTTCAAGATTATCATGGATTTATATAAACCTACAGGCATAATAATTTGCCTTTTCCCCTGTACATAAGATTTCATAAACATGACTTGATGTTTAACTCTGCAGGACAACACGATGGGCAACAACTGTGAGCAGTGCACTCCTGGCTTCTTCCGCCCCTACGGAGTGCCCCGCAATGAAACAAATGCTTGTCGTGGTGAGTAACACCTGGACCTGTAGCTGGAACCTTGCTGTGTAGCCGTACACACACCTGTAACTAGAACCTTGCTGTGTAGCCGTACACACACCTGTAACTAGAACCTTGCTGTGTAGCCGTACACACACCTGTAACTAGAATCTTGCTGTGTAGCCGTACACACATCTGTAACTAGAACCTTGCTGTGTAGCCGTACACACACCTGCACCTGTAGCTGCAACCTTGCTGTGTAGCCGTACACACACCTGTAACTAGAATCTTGCTGTGTAGCTGTAAACACATCTGCACCTGTAGCTGGAACCTTGCTGTGTAGCCACACACACCTGTAACTAGAACCTTGCTGTGTAGCCGTACACACACCTGTAACTAGAACCTTGCTGTGTAGCCACACACACCTGTAACTAGAACCTTGCTGTGTAGCCACACACACCTGTAACTAGAACCTTGCTGTGTAGCCGTACACACACCTGCACCTGTAGCTGCAACCTTGCTGTGTAGCCGTACACACACCTGTAACTAGAATCTTGCTGTGTAGCTGTAAACACACCTGCACCTGTAGCTGGAACCTTGCTGTGTAGCCGTACACACACCTGTAACTAGAATCTTGCTGTGTAGCCGTACACACATCTGTAACTAGAACCTTGCTGAGTAGCCGTGCACACACCTGTAGCTAGAACCTTGCTGAGTAGCCGTACACACACCTGTAGCTAGAACCTTGCTGTGTAGCTGTAAACACACCTGCACCTGTAGCTGGAACCTTGCTGAGTAGCCGTACACACACCTGTAACTAGAACCTTGCTGTGTAGCCGTACAAACACCTGCACCTGTAGCTGCAACCTTGCTGTGTAGCCGTACACACACCTGTAGCTGTAACGAGAACCTTGATGAGTAGCCGTACACACACCTGCAGCTGTAGCTAGAACCTTGCTGTGTAGCCGTACACACACCTGCACCTGTAGCTGCAACCTTGCTGTGTAGCCGTACACACACCTGAAGCTGTAACGAGAACCTTGATGAGTAGCCGTACACACACCTGCAGCTGTAGCTAGAACCTTGCTGTGTAGCCGTACACACACCTGCACCTGTAGCTGCAACCTTGCTGTGTAGCCGTACACACACCTGAAGCTGTAACGAGAACCTTGATGAGTAGCCGTACACACACCTGCAGCTGTAGCTAGAACCTTGCTGAGTAGCTGTACACACAGTAGCCATACACACACCTGCAGCTGTAGCTAGAACCTTGCTGAGTAGCTGTACTCACACCTGTAGCTGTAAGTAGAACCTTGCTGAGTAGCCGTACTCATACCTGCAGCTGTAGCTAGAACCTTGCTGAGTAGCCGTACACACACCTGTGGCTGTAACGAGAACCTTGATGAGTAGCCATACACACACCTGCACCTGTAGCTGCAACCTTGCTGAGTAGCCATACACGCACCTGCAGCTGTAACGAGAACCTTGCTGATGCTCACCACTTTTAGAATTGTGTTATTCTGGACAATTAAGCTTTCATATAATCAGATTATCAACAGCAGATTTCTGCACAAGCAAAACATGACTGTGAGGTTTCCTGAGGTAAACCTCTTCACTGACAATGCTTACACTGTTGTGACAGTACACTAACTTTTGTTTATGATTTCAATGTATGTTTATATAAGTCCTAAGATGAGTTTTAACCATAGGATTATTTTTTGTTGGTGGCTCTTATGTTAATTGTGTATAATGAATGGATGCAGTAACAATATAGTATTTCTTTACAGCTTGTCAGTGTGACCTACGTGTATCTACAGGAGAGTGTGAGGAGGGATCTGGCAGGTGTTTGTGCCGGACTGAGTACACAGGCGAGCTCTGTGACAGGTAGGAGGGGTTGAACCCTATTCATTGCTTAGAGGGTGAATGGGTTGTCCAAGTTGTCAGAGTCACCGCAATTAGCAGGTGCTAGAAACCTATGATTGTTGGTTCGATTCCCAGATTTGGCCTGATTATATTTCTTGTGTTTGTTAGTGCCATACCCGTGGGTTTCAACTTGGCTGTAAAGGTCTGAGACCTTCATTGCCTCAAGCTTTCCTCCTGCATCCAGCTGACTCAGTGTGACATCATTGAAATAGTGTAGCTGCATAAAACATTTGTTTGGAGGGTCTGTGTTGTCTCACCAAAGGGTATGTCAATGTACCCTGAAGGTGTGGGATATTGTTCATAAGATGAACCACTGGTTTGTCTGGTCCAGAACAAATAAATCAACATGTCATGCTATTGCCAGAATGTGCAGACTGCATCATGAACAATGATCACTCATTCCTTGTTTGTTATCTGCTTGAACCTGACAGTGTTAAGAAAATACATTTATCAAGGTTATACCTGTCTTGATCTTGCAGAAAGCACAGACTATTGAGATGATATGGTGATAGTGCTCATGTTGAAGATCATATTCTTCATGTTCTTCGTTCTCACAGCGGGGGGCTTATGCGTAATCGTGTAGTTGAAGTGGTCACTCGTCACGCTGAAGGCCCAGGTTCAATTCCCCACATAGGCACGACATTTAAAGCCCATTTTTGTGTGTCCTCAGCTGTGATATTGTAAAAGCGGCATGAAACTGTACTCTTTCTCATAGTTGGCCCCATTACTTTAAAACAAGCTCTCACTGGAATTGCTTATGAAGATGATGCTTTACAATGTTGAAATTTCTTTTAATTCAGATGCAGTGTGGGCTACTATGGTTACCCTTCTTGCATCCCGTGTGACTGTGACTTCAATGGTACAGAGGGCTCTATCTGTACTGTACAGAGTGGAAGCTGCCCCTGCAAACCCAACTTTGACGGACAGAAGTGTGACATGTGCGCACTGGGGTACTATAACTTCCCCACATGCCAGCGTAAGTGCTGTCACTGTTATTATCAGTACATCTGAGGGTGAGTTAGAATAGATCCCAACAACCTATGCTGGTTGTAAGAGGCAACCAAGTGGATGGGCGGTCAGGCTCGGTGACTTGGTTGATTACGTGTCATTGTCCCCTGATGGGGTACACATATCAGAACATGGTTATTCAGAATGTTGAAGCCTGTGTCATTTTGAAAAGTAAAAGTGAAATAATAGTTTGAACACTCTAAAATGTTAATGTTGACAAACATTAAATATTTGGCGTATAGGTTTCATTCAAACTTTAAATTACTTTTGGAGTTTTTATGCCAACTTGCAAGAGCTTTGTGAGAACTGTGCATCATACATGGCTGTTCTTTCATGGAAACTGAAATAGCAACCAATCAGGTGTTAGAGAACAGGTGACATCACTTGAGTCAATCGATATTTTACAATATCAAGCTTGATAACAGTGTAAGAATCTACATCAAAATGTCATAAACTGCAGAAGTTGTTATTCATAAAGTTTTGATCAGCAATGTTGTCTTAACAGTTCTGAAATTGGTTATGCAACGATATTTGATTTGGTTCACAGGGACCCGAAAGATTAGTATTACAAAAAAAATGCTGATGTCTGCAAATGTTCCACTTGGAACAGCCTGTTGTCAGTTTATAGTAACAACCTTGTTCGTCACACAGAGTTTGACAAAACATCCAATCCATCGGATAAGCTGTTGGGTCAACCTCCTGGTCCAACAGTATCAGTGACCCCAGACAGAGACAGCACATCTCAGTTAATGCAGGTTGTGTTTTGCAGCCTGTGTGTGTAACAGCATCGGCTCCCCCACCACCACGTGTGACATCAGCAACGGGCAGTGTCAGTGTACCCAGAACTACGGCAGCAGGGACTGCAGCATGTGTGCAGATGGCTACTTCAGCTTCCCCAACTGTGACTGTAAGTTGTCAATACCTGGATAGCTTTTCTTTCAAAGTATGGATGTTTACTTATAACCCAGACATGTTCAGATCCAATTGTCAATGTGAAGTTAATGGCAGAAAAAGGAGTACAAATTTGAACTTATGAATATATTGCCTTAAGGTGTGATAGGTATAATAGGTTGAAAATGAATACCTTGTCTTTGTGAAGGATATCTATCACCTTTGTGTACTGGTACATGGAAATTTATTATCCTGCGTAAGGTTCAGTCAGTGACTCTGGTGTTGCAAATGTATTACCAGTGAAGTGAGGTGTATGAGACTTGCTGGGCGCAGGTGCTTGTATATATGGTTGATAGGGTATGTGTTGCTCCTCCAGATTGTAACTGCGACCCCCAGGGAACGAAAGGTGAGATCTGTGACAAGCAGCTTGGAGACTGCTTCTGTAAACCAAACTTCTCCGGCCTACAGTGTGACAGGTGTACCCCCGGTTACTTCAGCTACCCCGACTGTAGAGGTGAGTCCTATTCAGAAAGACAACAGTTTATTTAAACTAAATTTTAAAGGTGAAACATTACATCAAAACTGCGATATGTGGCCTTCATTACGATACATGAAACACAACAAATAGACATGATGATACCAAATTCATAAGTTTTACTTACTTTACGAAAGAATAGCCCTAAATTGATTACCTTTTTGTCACCCTTAGATTAAATGTGTTTTTCAGTTATTCATCCTATTGAACCCAAATCTGCAACGTTTGTAGATGACCTTTCAGAATGTCATAAATTGCTTGTAGGGCTTGGTATATGAGGAAAATGGTCATGATATAAGAGAAGCAACTCCATGTCCCCTTTCTTCCAGAGTGTGCCTGTGCTGACATAGGATCCATCAGCCCAATCTGTGCAGACAGTGGCCAATGTCGCTGTAGATCCAACTTTGGAGGCTACAAGTGTGACCGCTGTGCACCAGGCTTCTACCGATACCCTGACTGTGTCCGTGAGTACATGACTACTACATTCTTTGGAGGCATAGACAGGGGCACTGTGACTTAACTTTCCTGTTTAGAATAAAGACCAGAAGATTTGCTAAGCTGTGATCAAACAAAGAAATAATTGATAGCAATAGAGACCTTGCTACATTTAATGTGAGCAAGCTCACGAATGAATGTATTCTCATCAAGATAAGGCAGAGGCACAGTTGACCCATTCATCTAAAGTGCCACAATTTGCTGTGCAGGGTTGCGCCTCACACATATATCATAGAAAGTCTCAAGACATCCTCCAGAAGACAGTATCCTGACAAATTATGAGATGCATTCTTCCCTCTTCTCCTCCCCTAGCCTGCAACTGTGACCTATATGGGTCCCTGGCACGGACGTGTGACCAGACAACAGGCCAGTGTTCGTGCAGACGCAACTTCCAGGGGCTCATGTGTGACAAGTGTCAGGAGGGCCTCTACAACTACCCGTACTGTGAAGGTGAGCTACGTAACATGTTGATGGACCACTTCATGGCTTTATGCGTAATTGCTTCAGGGTTTTCAGGCATGAAATAGCTGACCATTACAAATATCGCTGTATATTACACAACCATTTAGCTTCACTTCACTTGTTTTTTTCTTATACAAGTGAATATGGAATCTAATATCCAGTACTTTTTTGTTATTATTCTTATTCTGTTGAACTTTAATTTTTAGAACCTTATGAATCTCATTAATGAAAACTGATCACAACACAATCTTCCGAGCTGACTCTTCTGTTATGAATATGAACAGTAGGAGTTTAGGTGAAGAAATTACACCAGTCTTGCTATTTTATTAGCTTTCTAAATTTCTCGTAATATGGCTGTAATAAAATCATGACGCTATTTGTATTGGTGTTAAACATATGAACATGAGTTCTTGTGGTCTTTTGTGGATGCCGTTAATAGGTTCAGTTATAAATGTGAGTGTATGATGTGTGAGTAGAGTGCAACTGCAACCCTGCTGGAGCAAAGGAGATCCCTGGCTACCCCCTTGGGGGCTGTGGAACGGTCACCAAAGGGCAGCTGTGCGAGTGCAAGGACGAGGTGATGGGGCGCATCTGTGACACCTGTAACCCTGGCTACTGGAACCTCAACAGGAACAACCCAAGTGGATGTGAAGGTACAGTTGGTTGAAAATCTTGGATTGAAACTTCCTTATCTTATGCAGCAGTTGGGAAAGTATGAAGTGAGATGGGGTGTATTTTGACTGGTATGAAATGTTGTATTATGCTGCTCACAATGCAAGGAATGTTTTGAAACAAATACTGCAGGAGAGCAAACATCTATCTGTTGTCAGGAGAAAAGAATGCAGCCTCTTTGAAAGTTAGTAGTACATGTTATCTCTGAAGTAATATTTTTTGGACAATGAATTGTGAAAATATCAAGGATTTGTTTTCATTTAAGAGAGACTGCCTTGTATGTAAGGAGGGAGAATACTTTTCTGTCTGTTTTGTCACTGCAGCCCTTTTGGACTTTATGTAACTGTGACAATCTTAAACAGATTATGACTCAAATATATTTAAAATATATATGCAAACATTGTTGGCATGATGTATTGCAGAGTGCAAGTGTTTCCGGCCCGGCACGCTGGGTGCCATCAATGTGTGCGACACCAACACGGGACAGTGTATGTGCAAGCCAGACACTGGGGGACAGAACTGTGACCAGTGTCTTGATGGCTACTTTGGTCTCATGGAGGGAAATCCGTTTGGTTGCCAAGGTAAGTTCGCATCATTTTACTAATACACGGAAAACATTGATCGTCCCTCCAAATAATAGTGTAGGTAATTTACAAACTGATTAATGTTCTGATTTGTTGTTATTGTGAAGTTTGCAGATTATTATTCCCCCCTTCGTATAATGCAGGGGAATATAGTTGATGTCTCGTCTGTCTGTCCATTGTCTGTTGTCTGTAATCATTTCGTTTCTGGAGCATTAATCGAAAAACAAATTAAAAAAGTTAAAAAACAAATTGGCAGATATATGAAACAGATCCTGAAGTGGTGCATTTTGCTATGTAGGAATTAAAAAAAAATAAAGAAATTCCATGGGAACAAGTTTGACTTTGACTCTCTGTTCATAGTGGTGTGTACCTGACATGGAAATACAAAGATCTGAATCCCAATTCCATGGTGTTGTTTTGATAGCTCAATAACTACTCTTGTACACAGACAGACAGATTAGATAGAAATTCTCTCATCAAGTTGGACTAAAAGTAACAGCCAGATGATTTGTTCTTTTGAATTTGTAGGGTCCGGGAGGATTTGTTCTCTTCTGATGACTCTTGTGTGTATTTGTAATATGTCGTAGATAGCCGTGAAAAAACCCCAGGAGGTACCCCAAAAGAAAGTGAAAACATCAGCTACCCAGAGTTGTGTTTGTACTTACAATATGGGACAGTGGATATCCTAAGTATAGTTCTCAACCTCAGGACTTGTTATAGTAATTATATCAAATCAGACATCATCCTTTGACCTCTTCCTTCAGACTGCAACTGTGATGTTGGAGGCTCCATCACAACATCCTGCAACAAGAACAATGGACAGTGTGTTTGCAAACCCAGAGTTGCAGGACAGAAATGTGATTTGTATGTACCTAAACAATTTTTCAATCAGTAATCATTGACAGTTGTTTTTCCATCACAAAATTACAGATCTGGCATAACATTTTCAACTGAACCCGTCTGCAACCTTATCCACTAGTCTAAATTCTGAGTCTATTAAAATTTGTTTCAGGAGTTGATTATGATAACCCATATTATAGGAGTGAAATATATTGAATCAGATGTGAAAGTTTTTGTCACAGACACTGTTTTTGTCTTAACATTTTCAGCAAAGGAAGGTACCATGTTTTCATGGGTATCTTGACTCATTATCCTGTGGGTGCAGTTGTAGCAATTAGTAGCATGATTTCTGCAGGGCAGTTTATGTATTCATTGTATAATAGTATTGGGGTTGTATGGTAGAAGGAGACACATTTGTGGAGTTGTGTCATGTACTTTCAGGCCGATAGAGTCCCACTTCTACCCCGACCTGCACCAGTATAAGTATGAGATTGAGGAAGGCACAACGCCAGAGGGTGCTCAGATCCGTTACGGCTACGATGAGAGGATCTTCCCGGGCTATTCCTGGAGGGGATATGCCATTCTTATTGACATCCAGGCAAGTCTATTGATTTGATATACATTGACAGGAACTGGACAGTTTGGGTCAGATGATAACTTATAAAAGTAGTCTATATTCTTTGAAGTTTATGATTTTGTTAAAATATGTACTCAAACGCCAGACATTTCAATGGAAGATGAGTATTACTGTTAGCCTTGTCGTCTTTACAGCCAGAGGTTGTGCTGGACATATACATCAACAAGCCCAGCCTGTACCAGATAATCTACCGCTACATAAACCGCAATGACAACACGGTCAAGGGGGAGGTAACTCTCTCACCAGACATCTCCACCGACATTGAGCAGTCCAGTGAGATTGTGTTCCTGCCCAACCGTGACCCCGCCTTCAGCAAGGTTGGCAGCACGGCAACGGGCTCCACCTTTGTGTTGAACCCTGGGAGGTGGAGGATCTCCACAAAAGTCCCAGACAGTGTATTCTTGGTGAGCATCGTTACATACCAGACTTATCAATTACTGATATTTCATTGTGTCCTTTTTATGATTACTTTTGAAAACTTGTTTCATAACAGTTGTTATATAAGAATATTATCGGTTGCAATATTTTCAGCACTGATTAGGTTGCAGTTAAATTTTATTGTGACATTACAGTCTACAATTTTAAGAGAGGATAATGTCTTTAAGAAAGTTATTTTTGGTCAGTTTTGACTATCATGAAATCTTGAAAGCAACAAGGCTATAGAATTCTGTTGCAAGAATGTCATGTTTATTTCAGGACTACTTTGTGCTGATACCACAAGGCTACTATGAGGCCAGTGTTCTACAGAAAAGGATTATTCAACCTTGTACTGTCCCTGGAGACCAAGGCCCGTAAGTTGTACCTTACCCTTTCTGTCGAAAGTATGGAGCAGTTCTCTGTGCATTCCACTCCACAAACCTGTGATAGTTGGTTCAAATCCTGTTTCACCCATATTAAGTTTCAAGGTTTGTCAGCACCAGACCTGTGCTTGTGTGTTTCACTTAAGTGGTAAACGTCTGAGACCTGCATCGCTTAGAGCTTTCATCATGAAGCTGACTTTATGTGATATGACTGGAATATTTTTGAGAGTGGCTTTAAACACAACTCTCTGACTCACTGTTGGAAGTTAGTCATTCCTTGGTGAAGGACCCTGCCTTTGGTCATTCTGATGTAGAATTGGTCCTTAGACCCATGCTTGTTGTAAGAAGCAACTACAACACATTGTGTGGTGAGGCTCTGTGGCTCGACTGTTTGCATGTCATCATGCCCCAATGATGTTGATAGTTACGCATGTTTTCAGTCACTGCTTTGTCTGGCTCAAACTCAACTATGTACAGTAATATAGCTGGAATATTGCTGCTGACAGCAGAGTAAAACTATAATGTTGTCAGGTTGATCTGGTCTGTTTATGGACTTCAGATGTTGGGTTATGCTATTGCAGCCAGCATGTTATTTTGTAAACACCTTGTAGTGCATTGCTTGCATAACCCCAAACACTGTTTGTTACCCTTGCAGCTGCCTGCACTACCAGTACCCAGACATATCCTGGTACCCCACTGTGCGAGGTGAGGATGGCTATGTCATCGAGGACCAACAGAGGGTCAGTGTGAGTCTGTATCCTGATGGTGATGTAGTGGATGAACTTGGAACCACAGGCATGGCACACTTGAATGCCAACCAGGTAAGCTGTAAGATGGCGACACAATATTTGTTCCATTTGTTCCATGCTTAAAGATGCCTTGAATGTTTAAAATCACCCACCCTATTTATAGTGCCTTATGCTGGCTTAAGAATTGTGCTAGAAAATTAGCAGGCTAAATGTTAACTAACAAATTGGTATGTCAAAGGCCATGCCTACTCTCCCTTTGTTGTAGAAAAAGTGATCCTAAATATTGATGTATATAGTTACAAAAGGGGTGATCAGGGGACAGTGGAACAATCTTGACTGAGTTTATGAGGATGGCTGACCTCAGTGTTTTCACAATAGTACACCGTTTACATCATTGTAAGAGAGATCATATCTTTACAAAAGTCATAATTCCTTTTTTAATACCTTACCTCTATTATATCATGGTCATAAATTCCTGTTTTGGCTGTCATCACACTATATAATCTTTTAGATTTTCAACAGACATTTTCTTCACTGTCAGCTTCTCTAATAGTTTTGAGGTAACCCTATCCTCAGGTTTAATGCAACAGTGCATGTGTGAAGCCGGAAAAGGTCAGTTCTTTCCCGTTATCTATACATGTCGTTGAAGTACAAACAAGTTCACCAAACTCTGACCAATCCACACAGTTGTGGCAGTGGAGATTTGTTGTGATGTCACCTCCATGTTGTACTGAACTATAACCTGTTGCCATGGCAGACCTTCTTCTACCTTGACCTTGTGATCCCGGACCCAGGGGACTATGTGCTGGTCTTCAACTACCACAACCCACAGGGGCTGGTGCAGAACCTGGACGTGGACGTGGCCTCCGAGGCCGGCCGAAGCAAGGCCAAACTCAGACTCAACGAATGCATGTACAGGTGAGGGGTGATCAGCATTTTGCGCTGAGGGATTAGGACAGCCTTGAAGCAAAATATTAATCGAAGATTCTTTACATCAAGGGATCTGGACTGTCAATGACATCTGTACAATTGAGACAAGAAGCACATTTAAATGTCCTTATTATTTACCCTTCAATCTTGTCAAATGTAATACAGTAAACTCTGTTTATAACGAACACCCTTATAACTGACGTATATGATGAACTGTTGTTTTGGTCCCGTCCATCTGCTGTATATAATTATATACTGAATATGTGCTTTGTGCATTATCAACAAAACAATAGGATTCATGAAAATATTTATGAATAACATTGGCAATTATTAGGGGCTACTCAGTTGTTAAATACAAAGACATACCCTGCGGGTATGAATGAAAAGGGTCGTGCCGACCTGAGTGAATGAATGCTAGTTACCCTGAGGGTAATGAACAAGTCCTGAGACCGTGCCGGCCCTGGACTGTAAATTTGGAAGAAAGGTACTTTGGGGGCCACAAGCCATTCCTATGCAGTATACAGGGCATGGAATGACTTGTGAAGCCCAAATGAGGTTGTGTGCAACTGAGAGCCCCCAATTTACATTTTAATAGAACTAGGGTTAAAACGATTGTTATAACCGTAGTTAACTGTATGTTCAAATGCATCACTCAAGGAACCAGACATTTCAAGTATTTGAAATTCACAGAAAATGATCTTGCATGAGACATTAGAATGTATCAAAGAATTCTTCAACATCTCATTGATGGTACATTTTGACATCTTTGAGTTTCTATCCAAGCATCTAGTATGGTTGTTACCTTGATGATGATGGCGGCTCTGTATTTCTTCCAGCTCCCTGTGTCGCCAGGTGCTGAACGATGAGTTGGGCATGGTAGCTGTCTTCAATATCAGCACAGGCTACGTTTCACTCACCATCCGGGGCGATGACAATGTTGAGGCAGCCATTGTAAGTACTTTCAGTGCAATAGCAGTTTACTGTGTACACCTTTGACTTGTCTAATCTTAACAGCGTTATGTTTAGGGTTGGGACGGTTAACTCGGGTTCTTGGGTCGGGTGGGGCCTGAGCAGGACACGGGTTCCCACAGGACTACCCAGACCCATAGTCACGTGACATATTGTTTAACGACAATAACAATATAACTCCATGGTTACACAACAAGTCGCTAATACTTGTATTTCTTTCTGTCTTTGTCTTCTTCTTTTTTTGAGGTTTGATAAAGCTTCAGACAACTTCAGTGCATGCATGATCATATAATTTTATGTGTGTATGTGAATAGTTTTTTCCAGGGCTCCGCTAAAACAACTCCCAATTGGATATTTTGAGCTCAATTCATGGGAACGGCTAAGCGGTAGGGTCGGGAACCCGGGTAGTAAATGTGGACTCCTCCCACTCCTAGTTGTGTTCCATCTTCTCGTATGTAATGTCTGTCAACTTGAGTGTTTTCTAAGTTTGATGATCTTCATTTACTGCAGCTTCATGATGTTCTGTTAGAAGAAGGGATTGTTGCAGGACCACTATTAAGTTGGATTAAGGTGCATTAGCTGATGTAAAGAAGAAGACAGGGAATATAAGAAGGAAACTTTATGATATATGTTTTATGTATTTCAGGAGTCAGTTGTTGCTATTCCCTATGGTCAGTGGTCAACCAACTACATCAGACCCAGGATCATCTGCATCAAAGTCAATGGAGTGTATGTATGCTTTGCCATGTATCATCTGCATCAAAGTCAATGGAGTGTATGTATGCTTTGCCATGTATCATCTGCATCAAAGTCAATGGAGTGTATGTATGCTTTGCCCTGTATCATCTGCATCAAAGTCAATGGAGTGTATGTATGCTTTGCCTTGTATCATCTGCATCAAAGTCAATGGAGTGTATGTATGCTTTGCCATGTATCATCTGCATCAAAGTCAATGGAGTGTATGTATACTTTGCCTTGTATCATCTGCATCAAAGTCAATGGAGTGTATGTATGCTTTGCCTTGTATCATCTGCATCAAAGTCAATGGAGTGTATGTATACTTTGCCTTGTATCATCTGCATCAAAGTCAATGGAGTGTATGTATGCTTTGCCATGTATCATCTGCAGTTTTGTATATCATAAAGCCTTTGTGTCGACTGTATTCCTTCAGACTTCAATCGTAGAAGAATTCAACTAAAAATCATCCAAATCACTGTGTGTGTGGATTCTACATCAGGGAACACTTGCACCAAACGGTCTTAGCACTAAGGCTATTGTAAGCCTATTTTAAAGTATGGGAGTTAAGATCATCTTAGTGCTAAGATTGCTTTGTGCAAGTGGGCCCTGGAGGAATCCCCAGTACCTCATAGTAGCCAAGTAAAATTGGCATTGAATGATGAGACTTTATGGCCCGACTGATTGTGTGACATCACACTGGTGCTGTGGTTTGATGCTTGTGCTTTCAATCACTGGTTAGCCTGGTCCAAATGTGATATAGCTGGAATATTGTTGACTGCAGTGTTAAACATTGACTCGCTACCTGCACTGTTTGAAGTTGTCTTGAATAAAGACATTTTGTTGTAGCTGTAGGAGACGTTTTGAGGACTGATTTCTCTTGCACACATGGGCTGGGATGTAATTGTTTTGGTTACCAAATGGTAATGTCAGTTTGATAGTGTAAGTAAGTGTAGTGGTCATCTGGTGTTGCTGGCTTAGTTAGGTCTGTGGACCTCTACAAATACAACCTGTACAAACATACTCCTCCTTCCAGGTGTATCCCCTCAACATATTCATCACCTGTCGGATCATTCCGTGTAGATTTTGAACAGTCTCCTAACCAAGATAGACTTGCCACAGAACTCCCATATAATATGCAGGATCCCAATGTTGGACTTGTCAAGCTCAACTCTACAAGTGTGAGTATCTTAATGTGTCTATGTACAGTAGAACATGGATATAATGAACTACAAGAGACTGGAGAAATCAGTTTGTTATATACGTTATTCATTATATACTTTTTTCTGTTGGAAACATCCGCCATCTTGGCTAAAACAAAACACAATACACATACACCTTCCTCCCGCATCTACCGGTGATTCACTTAAAAAGTTTGTTTTACAGACAAGATTAGTCCAATTACATGGACAGGTAAGAGTAACATAATGCAAGTTTAACAAGGTTGAATCTTCACCAGTGATTTTGTTGATTTGCCGCGATTGTGTTGATACGCCTCTGATTGCATACAATTGTCAGTAACACTTCAGTGAGATTTGTCAGTTCGCTATACATGTCACTAACTAGTGGTAGATGGGCTTGTCGGTGATCAGATATCAGTTCGCTATAAATCTTTTGCACTTCATTATGGTGAGAACTTATCTCTTGTACATGAATGTAAGTTACACACATAGACAGTTTCATCGAACAGTTTTCCTTTGATTTCTCATGCTTACATTTTCAATTAAGAAGACAAACATTCATTGTTTTTGCTTTATGTTGCAGACCACTGTTGAGATTGAGGGTCAGATAGACAATCCCAACCAGCATGTGTTTGTTGTACACTTCTACATGCCCTCAGAGGTTGGCCTCACCATCCCCGTCACAGTCACTGCCGGCGACAGACAGGTCATAGGTGAGTCCAGAGGTCATTGTCAACATCAGGTCCACTGACATGCAGGTCATAGGTGTGTCCAGAGGTCCCTGTCACCATTACCACCTCCGTGGTCTAGTGGTAGAGCATCCGCCCTGAGAGCGGAAGGTCCGGGGTGCGATCCCTGGCCGCTTCATACCAAAAGATGTTAAAAGATGGTACTTGTTGTTACCCTGTCTGGCGCTTGGCATTAAGGGGTTAAAGCAAGGACTGGTCGGCTCGGAGTCAGTATACTGTGTCTGAGTGGGGTATTCATGTTAAACTGCGGCATGGTATCTCAGTGGGCTAGCACTATAAATCGGCATCAGTCCATTCTAGTACAAGCAGCCACACACACACACACACACACACACACACACACACACACGTGCATGCACGTCGCTATATAAGTGCAATAATCTTGGACGCGACGTTAAACCCAGTTTCACCTCACTTCACCTCAGGTCATAGGTGAGTCTAGAGGTTCCCATCACCATCATGACTGGCGACAGACAGGTCATAGGTGAGTCTATAGGTCCCCGTCGGCATCAAGGCTGGCGACAGACAGGTCCTACGTGAGTCTAGAGGTCCCCCTAACAGTTAGGGCTTGGGACAGACAGAGGTCATAGGTGATTTGTCTCTGTCGCCATCATGACCATCTGATATGTTACTGGTCTGGTATAATGTTCTGTCAGTTGCAAACTGTCCAATGAGTACTTGTCAAAATGGTTGTCCAAAGCAATTGTGAAAATGCCAATGTCTTCATGGCAAACGTTTGATAGTGGAAGATGTGCTAAAAGGAATGGTTGTTTGTTCTGTTGTATATGTGTGCCTCTCTGTACAGGGTACTTCACACCGCAGTACTGCCCCAGCACATCTGGCTGCCGAGGCACCATCCAGTTCCCTGACAGTGGCAACTACCTCTCCATCAAGTCTCCCGTAGTCCGTATGCTCTTCAACAATACACAAGGTGGAGACATCTGGCTGGTAAGAGCCATTCAAATAGTTTACAGGTTACAAATGAATGGACAAGTGATATATTCTTTTGTACCAATGAAATGTTCTTGTGCAGCCTCACAACTGAATCACCCATGAAATGTATATGTACAGCTTTCACAATGAAATGTTTTTGTACAGTTTACACTAAGGCTGGTACGGGTAACTCGGGTACCCGTGTACCCACATGACTACCCAAATCCGTGGTTAGTCATGTGATATACTGTATAATGACATTAACGATGAAATTCTACACTACATAGTTACACTACAAGTATAGCTAATGTTCACATTTCTTTCGGACTCTGCAAGCATTCGTTTTATATGTTCGAGTAAGGATAAAACCTCTATCAACGTCAGTGTATGCATGATCGTTTTATTCTTCCCCGCCCTTAAGGCGGGGAAGTATACGGGAAACGTTAATTTGGTGGCATGTATGTCGACATGTTGGTTTATTTGAAATTTCAAGCCACGAATTTACGGAAACAAAACATACAAATCATGTGCGTGGAATGTTGATGCTATTCTTTTCCAGCAATAAGAGATACTTCAAAATCGTCTTCATGTAGTTAATTGATGCATCTGACCGTTTCTGGTCATTAGCTGACACTATTAAACCATTCATGTGTAATCCGATGTCCTTTATTCGTAAAGGACTAATTTTCTGATTTTCACGGTGTATACAAAAGAAGAAGATTGTAAATAACAGCATAATAAAAATTATGTTCTGAATATGCTTATTCATGAACAACGACGACATCTCAATTTAAATGTAATATGGCTGAATTCCACATTCTACATACCACACTTTTGATTGTTTGGATGCTCATGTTCACTGGAAATATTTGGAATAGTTATATTCCGTATTTTGAATTAACCCAGTCCCCCGTATTTTTTTTAATCAGTGCACCGCACATAGCCACATGTGAAACGTTTGGTAGCAAAGTCAAAGCAAAATCGGAGTAGTGTGTCGGCGAATTTGCATCAAGACTGTAGTATTTTTCAACCGTTTTATGGAATTCAATGTACAGCCGTAGCTCTGGTCACTCGTATATTTTGTGTCCCATGGCTCAAATCTATTTGCGTCTGTACCGTGTTCCACTGACCTCGATAATCTGTTGGATGAAGGCACAGCTCTCTACAGTCACATAGTTAGCACCGAAGGCTATGAGGGGGTATTTAGGTCATAATCAGCTCCCAGCAGCCACTGCCTCAAGGGATATTGTCTACATAACAGATAAGTTTTTTTGTTCCGTCACAGGTGCTCGAAATATTGAAGCAGGGAAAACAAATTTCATAGAATCATTTCAACAAGCAATATTGATATCCCCGTCACTTTTGGTAACTTTTAATGATGTCTCCATTGCAATTTTTACGGATTTTGATTCGTATGTATTATTTGACTCTCATCAGCGGAGTGGTTTGGGTCAGATTGATCCGAATGGACAAGCGGTTTTACTTCTGTTTAGTAGTATGAAGGAATTGTTATGTTACATCTTAACAGTATATCAGGCGACTATGCTTGTCGTAAGAGGCGACAAACGGGATCGGATGGTCAGGCTTTGGTTGATGCATGGCATCGATCCCAATTGCGTGGATCGATGCTTATGATATTAGGCACTGGATTGTCTGGTCCAGACTCGATTATTTACAGAACGCTGTCATATAGCTGGGATATTGCTGAGTGCGGCGTTAAACGACAAACCAATCAATCATCTTCATATGAACTCAAACCAGTCATTGTTACAAGTAAACCACATTCCACAACAGTTACTGACACTGGATAAAAAACAGTACATAGAAAAAAAACAAGTAACTCAACTCATCATGATCACAATTACTATTCTTTGAAAGAAAGAAATACAAAAAAGAAACTGACCAAAAAACGTAAAACAAGAGACGAGGAATCTCCGTTATTGATTAGTCCCGGTATTGAAATGTTCTCCAACTACGTGATAATATTTTGAGTATGTGCATCTGTGGTTGTGACAAAAAGACCTTATCTAGTATGACTTTTTTGCCATATGGAGCCCTTAGAATTTTCATTTACAATATTTTAACCAAATGCCAAGTGTAAAAAGAATGTGATCTATTATTTGAGTATATGCATCTGCCAATGTTGTTGGCAGTTTTGATACTATTTCCACATGTTTACATTTGTGCCAGAAATTGCTTCCATTTCCTTCGATCTACTTTTTCAATAAAGACCCAGGTTAGAATAGGTCTTCAGCAACCCATGCTTGCCGTAAGAGGCGACGAACAGGATTGGGTAGTCAGGCTCGCCGATTTGGTCGATGCATAACATCATATTCCAATTGCGTAGTTCGATGCTTTTGGTGTCAATCACTGGATGATCTGGTCCAGACTGGATTATTTACAGACCGCCATCATATGGCTGGAATACTGCTGAGTGCGGCGTTAAACAAGAAACTATTTTTAAATAGACCTACCCTATGCAAATGTATCAACTGTACTGCCCAATACTCAAAATAAATAATATTTTTTTCCACAACAGCTACCTGGGTAGTAAATTTCGACATGTCCCAGCCCTAGTTTACACAGTGTAAGAACAAGTGAAATGTTCTTGTGCAGTTAGCTAAATTGGAGGACAAGTGAATTATTTTCTTGTTAACAGATGTTTATTTATTGATTAAAGTTTCCAAATTAATTTTCTGTGTTCTTGCTGTCCTTCCTTCAATGTACCTATTTGAGCTTACCACTCTTTTTCTTTCAGGACTATGTTCTCATGGCTCCTGCCAATCAATACAACATGCGTAACCTTGACCTTCACCCCATTGATAAATCAGGCGACTTCCTCACTGAGTGTGTTAATGATGGGTTTGAACTCAGGTATGTACACATCAATCTGTTTCACATTTGTTTTAGAATACACAAACAAATGAAGTATATTCCCTATATATCAGAATATATATGTATTTACCTGTATTGTGCACGTTTTTACTGTTTCAGGAGTAACAGTAAGTTCTGTCGTGAGAGTGTCTTCACTCTGACTTCAGAGTTTAACAATGGCGCCCTTCAGTGTGACTGCAACATTGATGGGTCTCTCAACTTCAACTGTGATCAGTTTGGTGGACAGTGTCAGTGCAGGGAGAACGTGATTGGTCGCAACTGCACAGCCTGCAAACCTGGATACTTCGGTTTTCCAAGATGCAAACGTAAGTTTTCATAGTACATGTTTTAAAAAGAACATCAGACCCCTTTATGAATGTTTTTCAATCAGGATTCTAGAGCAGAATAGATCATTAAGGTTTCCAGATGAAGGTGAATTAGATTGCCTCCATGTTTGTTGAGTGTGAATAGTTCATGGATGGGTACGTGACCACACTGTCACCTGATTATATGAACTGATACAGACACATATGGCTACAGGTGTCACTACTAATTATGGGGATATCATAGAGAATTCTACCATGACATTGATGAATGCTTGATTCTGATTGGTTAAAAAGAGGTTTCCTTTTTGCTACGGAAACCCCTTTCAAATATTTTAAGCCTTTTCACAAAAAAACGTGCACACGAATACATAGAAAGCCTACATATTGAGGCAATATAGATTCACCCCGATATAAACCATAAAACGAATCTTTATTTCGTCTAATACACACTGGGTCACTAATACCAGCCAGGTCTCTAATACACACCGATTCAAGGGCTCTCGCGACATTAATAGACAGTGTAGAGTCAAATAGAGGAAATACGGTAGTTTGATATCCGATGTTTGGGGCGTTCTAGGCCACAACCCTTCTTGCATACAAATGAAATGTTTATGAAACTGTTAGAGAAATGTTCTATGGTGACCAGAATCGGAACAATTTAAGCTATTTCCTCATTGAAACAACCGACAATGAAAGTAAAATAGAACACTATAAAAATTGTTTGAAAAAACTTTTATGATAACATGTTGTTTACAAAGCATTTTTGTGATCGATATTCGTTGCCATCTCCGTCAGCCACCACCGTTAGAATTTGGCAGGAGGGGATTTGAAAGTCCATCAGAAAACACACTTTCGAAAGTCCACAAAAACAATGTCCCAACTGAAGTGACAGCTTATCAAACTTGATGAAAATTCATTTCAGAACACGCACAATTAAGAAAATCATACACGATCCACTATTTCTGGGCCACAAATGTCTAAGTTCTGTCACTATCCGGCTTTGGATCCGTGAAATCTTGAAATTGACAGGTCACGGCGTGCAGATTCCTCGTTTCAAAATATCTGGCTCATCTGCAGCCTAAAAAGCGGCTGTTCAGTCATACTCTGTCACACTGGTAAACATATGGATGTACCAGCAGGCTTGATCAATCCCAGATTATCTACATGTTAATGTTGAACCACAACATAGATCGGGGTTGTCATCTTGCTTCATTCGAGAATGTAAACACAAGATTGTCAGCCATTGACAGCTGGGAGGTGTGAGTAACTGTGATGTAGGTCAAGTTCTGCCACATCCAAGTTCTGGGTGGAGAGGCATTTATTTTGATTTTATTATTGTTTACTGGGGGTAATTGCTAACTAACTAATAACACTGCCACATGCTAAATGTATAATAGAATGTTAATTCATAAAGTTTGTTGTAGAAATATATTTGTTTAGCATTTTAAAACCTTTTTCTATAACCCGTCACCCCTACAAAAGAAATGATGGCATGTTCGATTTCCAAGAAATGACCTCCCTCCCAAAATTCCGAGAAATGACAGTCAGTCCACAGTGTACAACAGTGTACAACAGTTTGGTAGAAATTAAAACATCTCTCTTTGGACTAAGTTTGGAGTGTTATTTGTCAACTTATTTTGAAAACCTATGTGTTTTGAACACTTATTATGAACTACTCACGACTATGGTGTTTTTAATCTTGAACTTTAGTAATAATTGTCTCATATACAAACTACCTGTGACCACTTTTGGGAATGTTCTAAGATTACTGACCTGTGCACCTGTGTTGTTACGCGTTGCAAGAGAGCACCTTTTTCAAAGTGTTGTTGCCGTCATGGTAGAATGGAGATAAACCTACTGTGTTTTGAAAGCGCTTGATTCAAATTTAAAATAAAGAGGTATCTACTCTACAGTGGGACTACATCAAATTTCAAAACACAGTAGGTACTCTACTTAAATTTAAGGAAAGTATTTACAGTATCGTTTTGTAGCGACAGGGGGACATTGTCACACTGTAACAAATACTTGTTTGACAAGAAATGCCAAGTATCATCTGTCTTTACATTTGGTATGTGAGTGTATTTGTCCTTACAGCCTGTAGCTGTCTGTATGGCCTGTGCCACCCCCTGAATGGAGAGTGTATCTGCCCGGCCAATGTGGAGGGGGACAGGTGTGACCGATGTGAGCCGGAGACCTATGGGTTTGATGCTCTCATTGGATGCCAGGTATGATCGTCTGCTCATTTGAATACTTGTTTCTTTTCTTTTAATGTGAAAAATATTTCCAACTGAACATTGTAGAATTTTATTCTCTTAAGACAAAGCCACCAGTCTTGTCTGTGAACATCAAAATGACTATTTTCTTGAAGAGAACTGTTTTTCCCCATTAATCTCATGTAGTCTACCCCTGTCAATGTGGCCAAATACCTTTGTGCATGTTGAGTTTCATACATGCTATCTCCATCACTAGGAGTGTAAGTGCAACATACAAGGAGTCCAGGGTCAAGACCTCAACTGTGACCAGACGACAGGAAAGTGCAGGTCAGTGTGGATAGTGTGGTTGAACCCCAGTTTGCACTGATGTGTCAGCATCATACTCATGCTCATTGGTTTCTCCAAAGTAATACGAAACTAAGACCAGCTTCACAGGCTTTCTTTATTTCCACCTTCACTCTACTGTGCCTGAAAAACTGTTTTGAGCAAACATTTAACCTGACTCGCTCATATTTTCACTCAGTACTTATTTTTCACTTCCTGTGTATGATTTGTTAAAGTGTTTGCTAGTGCATGTGATGCTGTACAGTTTTGACGGTTCGACTTGTTTCCAGATGTCTTCCGAATGTGAGTGGTCGAAAGTGTGACACATGTGACCCTGGTCACAGCATCTTCCCCTACTGCCGGCAGTGTGACTGTGACATCAGGGGAACAACGGTGGATATCTGCGACCAGAACTCAGCCAGGTGTATCTGCAAGGTAGCAGGACTACAGTCATAAAACTATTAGATATGCTCCTGGAGAATCCAGGTTTGAGAGCACACCAGCTCACTACTTAAACTTGTAAAAATTGCATGGTGAGTTGCATGACTTTTCCATGAGTGTAATTATCAGACCGTATTGCGTGGATGATCAGATAAGAGCCAATCTCTCTCTCAGTTGTTTCACTCATCGGTCATAGGATACAGCCATTTGACATCTTGATTTATTGTAGAAATGTTTTGGTTCAGATTCTAGCATGTTTTTCAAGGAAACACTACAAAATGTGGAGTTTAAGTCTTCCAGAATACAACACACTGTCATTTATGTTGCAGGAGAATGTTGCTGGACCAAGATGCGATGGGTGTGCGGCAGACACATACTACTTGAACCAGGAAAACCTTCGCGGATGCACCACTTGCTTCTGCTTCGGTGCCACCACCTACTGTGACAGCTCCCCCCTCTTCTGGAACCTGGTGAGAGCTGCGCAACTAATGGCAGTGGGGACTTCAGGAACAAAGAACTTCCAAATTGACTGTAGCTTGATTAAATTTTTAATGATTTATTGTTGGGCTGGGATGGGTCACTCAGGTACTTAGGTTGGGCGGGTCCAGAGTAGAATCCGGGTACCCATAGGAATATCCGAACCCGTGGTTAGTCACATTATATACTGTTTAATGACAATAATACTAAAACTCCATTGTTAAACTACAAGTCGCTATGTTCACATTTCTTTTTGACTATGTGAGCATCCCCCATTCTGGCTTTTATATGTTTGAGTGAAGATAAAGCTTCAGTCAACTTCATTGTATGCATGATCAGATTGCTTGATACATGTATCAAAATAGTTTTTGCCAGAGCAGACATTTTGTAAATTAGTAGACTGGGTCTTATCCAAGCTCTTGTTAGTAGGTTCTTATTGCATGATATGTTCGGAGCAGAGAAGCGAGTTAGAAACTGTCTACATGATTGGTGCCTTGAATATTAAGTCCCTGAAACTGAAGAATCCTGTAAATATATTTGTATCTGAAGAACTACAGTAGAATCTTTCCTGGAAAAGAGACATTTGTTTGTTTTTTAGGTGACCCAAATGAACAACTGGGCAGTGACAAATGTGAATGCTGATGTAATTGAGGCCGGATCCACCATTGCAGTGAAGGCAGCCAATTCCATCATTGACCCCAATGAAGCCATATACTGGGTGGCCCCACCAGAGTACCTGGGCAACAAGGTAGGTCATCAGCAGGCAGGTCCAAGTTGCAGGTGTAATTGTCTCATGACCTTGTCAATCACCAACACTGTGGATAAAATGCTGACCCAGGAGTGATGTATAGTGTTGATGAAATCTTTAAAACATATTGGTACATGCATTCTTACAATAGCTTCCCTTTAAAACGTTACTATGCTTGAAAACCCTTTCCTACATTTCTTTACAATTTTATATCAGAACGTGTTTGAACATGTTGTATAGGCATCCTGGCATGATGTTAGTTCAATATTTATCTTGTAACTATTTATATATAGGATTGTGTGTGTATGCAGGAAAACTCAATAAGTACCTGATTATAATATCCAGACATAAGCATGAAATGATATATGTTCTAGCATGTACTGATATACCAGTAACCCATGGTGATTATTTTCTTCAGATCAAGTCCTATGGTGGCTACCTGATGTACCAGGTACTGTTCACCCTCCCAAGGGACGACGAAGCTCAAAACTCGGAGGGACTTGTTAAGTCTGATGTGATTCTAGTGGTAAGTTGGCTAACATTCCATGTAGAAATATTAAATAAGAGCTACTTCAATAGATAATGTTTCTTAATCTTGCAAAGTATCTGATATTTATGATGTTATCTTCCAGGGTAACAACATGACAATAGTTCACTTCAGTAACGACCAGCCAGCACCAAACTCCCAAGTCAACTTGAAAGTCCAGCTATTCGAGGTGAGAACAAATCTCCAAACCTGTGTTTTCAATTCATAGCAACAAAGATAAAAAAAATAATTTAAAATAGATATATATATATATATATTCTTTGGTTTATGTCCAAATGTAAATATAAATGTTTAGATCTGCCTTGACTGAAGCACTGGTATGAGATTGTCCAACTATCTAAGGTAACTATATAAGGGTTACAGTGAATGCTGTTCCAGTACAACTTCATCTATATGACTTGCTATGTGGTTCCAGTACAATTTCATCTATATGACTTGCTATGTGGTTCCAGTACAATTTCATCTATATGACTTGCTATGTGGTTCCAGTACAATTTCATCTATATGACTTCCTATGTGGTTCCAGTACAATTTCATCTATATGACTTGCTATGTGGTTCCAATACAATTTCATCTATATGACTTGCTATGTGGTTCCAGTACAACTTCGTCCATGCCAACACCCGGGACACAGTAACAAGAGAGCAGTTCATGATGCTCCTCATCAACCTGCAGGCTTTACACGTCAGGGCCTCGTACTTTACACTCATTGATGAAGCCAGGTACAGCTCCACGTCTCACTGTTCACATTGTAGTGTCCAACTTGCACAGATACAAGCAAAGGGAACATTGTAAATCCAGATGGTACTGCACCCAGTGACGTATACATCAACCTGTTTCTGAATTTATGTATTTATTTGACACTATCCTATATATAGATTCCCAACATTTTTTTACTGGTCTGGTTTCACTGTACATGTTTTTTTGCATTGATGTTGACAGCTTGCATATCACAGGGAAAGTTAGTCCCTGTGTGGAATGAAGAAATACAGGACAATGAATTGAAAAAATGATTTTATCTGGCCCTGCTGGCTTGTTCTGAAGGTTGTCACTCTGTTGTAGACTGTCTGAAGTCCAGCTTGAAGCGGCCACTGAGGAAGGGCAAGGGGATGCAGCACTTTCTGTGGAGCAGTGCCAGTGTCCTCCTAACTACCAGGGCTCCTCCTGCGAGGTCAGCAGAATACTGTAGTGTTGTGGTTATCTCTAGCCTCCCACAGGAGTAGAATACTGTAGTGTTGTGGTTATCTCAAGCCTCCCACAGGAGTAGAATACTGTAGTGTTGTGGTTATCTCTAGCCTCCCACAGGAGTAGAATACTGTAGTGTTGTGGTTATCTCTAGCCCCCCACAGGAGTAGAATACTGTAGTGTTGTGGTTAACTCTAGCCTCCCACAGGAGTAGAATACTGTAGTGTTGTGGTTAACTCTAGCCTCCCACAGGAGTAGAATACTGTAGTGTTGTGGTTATCTCTAGCCTCCCACAGGAGTAGAATACTGTAGTGTTGTGGTTATCTCTAGCCTCCCACAGGAGCAGAATACTGTAGTGTTGTGGTTATCTCTAGCCTCCCACAGGAGTAGAATACTGTAGTGTTGTGGTTAACTCTAGCCTCCCACAGGAGTAGAATACTGTAGTGTTGTGGTTATCTCTAGCCTCCCACTGGAGTAGAATACTGTAGTGTTGTGGTTATCTCTAGCCTCCCACAGGAGTAGAATACTGTAGTGTTGTGGTTATCTCTAGCCTCCCACAGGAGTAGAATACTGTAGTGTTGTGGTTATCTCTAGCCTCCCACTGGAGTAGAATACTGTAGTGTTGTGGTTATCTCTAGCCTCCCACAGGAGCAGAATACTGTAGTGTTGTGGTTATCTCTAGCCTCCCACTGGAGTAGAATACTGTAGTGTTGTGGTTATCTCTAGCCTCCCACAGGAGTAGAATACTGTAGTGTTGTGGTTAACTCTAGCCTCCCACAGGAGTAGAATACTGTAGTGTTGTGGTTAACTCTAGCCTCCCACAGGAGTAGAATACTGTAGTGTTGTGGTTATCTCTAGCCTCCCACTGGAGTAGAATACTGTAGTGTTGTGGTTATCTCTAGCCTCCCACTGGAGTAGAATACTGTAGTGTTGTGGTTATCTCTAGCCTCCCACAGGAGTAGAATACTGTAGTGTTGTGGTTAACTCTAGCCTCCCACTGGAGTAGAATACTGTAGTGTTGTGGTTATCTCTAGCCTCCCACAGGAGTAGAATACTGTAGTGTTGTGGTTATCTCTAGCCTCCCACAGGAGTAGAATACTGTAGTGTTGTGGTTATCTCTAGCCTCCCTGTGAAGCAGAATACTGTAGTGTTGAGGTTAACTCAAGCTAATAATAAGTTGTCCTATAACAGACTTGCATCCTCAGACTGACCGATTACCTAGACTTGCCTATTATAAGGATAGAACAACTTTACATCCGTGGACTTATCATTCAATACAAGGAGCAAGGCTAACAGCAGACAGTGGGGTAGACTAACATTTAGTCTCTGAAATCTTATATAACACAATATCCTTCTTGACTCTAAAAGTAAAATAAAAATTCCCTATGCTGTGGAATAGAGCTAGCTGGAGCTGGCTAACTTGCTTTTGTATGGGTTTCCAGATTAATTTTTTTTTTCATAAAAAAAATATATTCCACAGTCATGGTGCAGGACTAACAGTGGGGAGATGCTTGAGATTGGGAGACAGGCAGCAAAAGCAAGCTCCCACTGTGTATAAACAAAGAGGTCATTCCAGCCATCATAGTCCCCTCGCCCTTATCAGTAGATTCCAAATCTCATGTCCGCCTGTCACTTACATTTTGATAAACTATTAGCAACAACTTGAAGCAAATTCCACCGTTCTCAGTCTTTAACTCAAGCCTCCCACAGGAGCAGAATACTGTAGTGTTGTGGTTATCTCTAGCCTCACACAAGAGCAGAATACTGTAGTGTTGTGGTTATCTCTAGCCTCCCACAGGAGCAGAATACTGTAGTGTTGTGGTTAACTCTAGCCTCCCACAGGAGCAGAATACTGTAGTGTTGTGGTTAACTCAAGCCTCCCACAGGAGCAGAATGCTGTAGTGTTGTGGTTAACTCAAGCCTCCCACAGGAGCAGAATACTGTAGTGTTGTGGTTAACTCAAGCCTCCCACAGGAGCAGAATACTGTAGTGTTGTGGTTATCTCTAGCCTCCCACAGGAGCAGAATACTGTAGTGTTGTGGTTATCTCTAGCCTCCCACAGGAGCAGAATACTGTAGTGTTGTGGTTAACTCTAGCCTCCCACAGGAGCAGAATACTGTAGTGTTGTGGTTATCTCTAGCCCCCCACAGGAGTAGAATACTGTAGTGTTGTGGTTAACTCTAGCCTCTCACAGGAGCAGAATACTGTAGTGTTGTGGTTATCTCTAGCCTCCCACAGGAGCAGAATACTGTAGTGTTGTGGTTATCTCTAGCCCCCCACAGGAGTAGAATACTGTAGTGTTGTGGTTAACTCTAGCCTCCCACAGGAGTAGAATACTGTAGTGTTGTGGTTATCTCTAGCCTCCCACAGGAGTAGAATACTGTAGTGTTGTGGTTATCTCTAGCCTCCCACAGGAGTAGAATAATGTAGTGTTGTGGTTATCTCTAACCTCCCACAGGAGTAGAATACTGTAGTGTTGTGGTTATCTCTAGCCCCCCACTGGAGCAGAATACTGTAGTGTTGTGGTTATCTCAAGCCTCCCACAGGAGCAGAATACTGTAGTGTTGAGGTTAACTCAAGCCTCCCACAGGAGCAGAATACTGTAGTGTTGTGGTTATCTCTAGCCTCCCACAGGAGCAGAATACTGTAGTGTTGTGGTTAACTCAAGCCTCCCACAGGAGCAGAATACTGTAGTGTTGTGGTTAACTCTAGCCTCCCACAGGAGCAGAATACTGTAGTGTTGTGGTTATCTCTAGCCCCCCACAGGAGTAGAATACTGTAGTGTTGTGGTTAACTCTAGCCTCCCACAGGAGTAGAATACTGTAGTGTTGTGGTTATCTCTAGCCTCCCACAGGAGCAGAATACTGTAGTGTTGTGGTTAACTCAAGCCTCCCACAGGAGCAGAATACTGTAGTGTTGTGGTTAAATCTAGCCTCCCACTGGAGCAGAATACTGTAGTGTTGTGGTTAAATCTAGCCTCCCACTGGAGCAGCATACTGTAGTGTTGTGGTTAAATCTAGCATCCCACTGGAGCAGAATACTGTAGTGTTGTGGTTAAATCTAGCCTCCCACTGGAGCAGAATACTGTGCTTGAACATATTCTATGTATTATTAACATGACATGTGTTGCTTTTTTACCAGGAATGTGCACCAGGGTACTACCGATCACGCCCCACCCCCTACCTCGGCATCTGTGTTCCCTGTGAGTGCAATGGACATGCAGACTCATGTGACCCCATCACAGGAGAGTGTTTGGTAAGTTGTAGAAATTCCCTATAGTAATGAAGAAGAAACAATGATCATAATACGATTAGTTATGAGAACATTCCTGGATATACGAGTTGGAAGAAGATTAGAATACCCGAGTGTAAAACTTTGTGAAAATATTTGTTTGTGTGGGTGCCTTTTCACATTAATAATTATTCTGTTCATTCCCAGAACTGCCAAGACAACACAACAGGACTTCATTGTGAAGCATGCCTGACTGGATACTTTGGTGACCCAGCGGTTGGGGGTTGTCAGATCTGTGCTTGTCCTCTGCCACTATCATCTAACAAGTAAGTTGGGACATTGAGTGACATCTGGCATCATGAGTGCAGGGTTTAGTCATGTTTTATGAACACAATGATGGCTTTCTTCATATGACTAGAACATGTATCTCTTAAACCCGATTAGGGGTTTATCATAACTCATAATACAATCCAGCAATCTGATTGGCCAGTCACCATCTTGTAAAACCCATAGGATATCATCTTGTTACTACGTGATAATTATGTTCACATTGAGTTACCATACTGAACCCACTGGCAGTCTTACTGCAGATCAGACACTGTCACACATAGGTATTTCACCTAAAATATGTCTTGTGAACATGAGGGGCGGTCGGGTAGCCTGGTGGTTAAAGCGTTCGCTCGTCACGCCTAAGACCCGGGTTCGATTCCCGACATGGGTACAATGTGTGAAGCCCATTTCTGGTGTCCCCCGCCGTGATGTTGCTGGAATATTGCTAAAAGCGGCGTAAAACCATACTCACTCACTCACTCACTCACTTGTGAACATGTAGTGATAAATTCATTACATGTGTTATTAGCGGAGTGTCCAGGATTTTATGAGTTGAACCTTCTTGAACACCCCTTGACCTTCAGTCTTGAGGTGTACACGCCCAAGCGCATAAAATCCTGTATACTCTGCTAATGACACAGGTAATTCATGATACGAACCTGGTCCTGCAGTGGATTTCAGCGTTAACGGTTTATTGATGAACTAATTATTTTACTTTGTAACATTTGTTTCTTTTCAGCTTTGCTGTTTCCTGTGTCATATCAGATAATGGTCTGACTACCTTCTGTGAGTGCCTCCCAGGATATTATGGGCCCAACTGCGAGAGGTAGGTGCATGTAATGCAATAGTCTACTTTCCACAGCTGTTCATAATATGCGAAACAAGACATTTTGGTGTTGCTGTGGATTCTGAAATGTGGGATCAATTCAGAAATATGAGATACCATTGTAAAAGTCCCCAGTATCCCATAGTACTAAGAGCTAACTGAAAGAATCGGGTGGTCATGATGTGTGACATGTTTATGTGTCATTGTACCCTGAATGCATTGATAGTTGCTTGTGCTGTCTGTCAGCCACTGGGACTGCCTCTGTGATCTAGTGGTAGAGCGTCCGCCCAGAGAGCGGAAGGTCCGAGGTTCGATCCCCGTCCGCATTATACCAAAAGACGTTAAAAGGTGCTACTTGTTGTTACCCTGTCTGGTGCTCAGCATTAAGGGGCTTAAACAAGGACTGGTCGGCTCGGAGTCAGTATACTGTGACTGAGTGGGGTATTCGTATTAAACTGCAGCATGGTATCTCAGAGGGCTAGCACTATAAATCGGCATCAGTCCGGACTAGTACGAGCAGCCACTCACACACATAATTCTGGATGTGACGTTAAACCCCATTTCACTTTAGCTCACCCGACAGCCACTGGTTTGCCTCACTGTTTTCTTTTTCAGTGTCTGATTAACTTTCAGATGTTGTAAAGTACTATTGTGTTATTTATTCTTTGTCAGCCTTACTGTCTTTGCTCAATGACAGGATGCCTTTTTCATCTGTACCATTTCCCTTTCTACCCCTAGCTGTGCCTCTGGTCACTATGGTAACCCCTACAAAGTTGGTGAGGGGTGCCAGCAATGTGGGTGCAGTGGCAACATAAATTTGAACGACCCCTACAGTTGTGACCGATACACAGGCGAGTGTCTCATCTGCCTCAACAACACAGCCGGCAGCTACTGTGACAGCTGCCAGGAATGGTTTTATGGGGATGCCATTCAGAGAAAGAACTGTGCATGTAAGTACCTCTGCTTCCTTTATCATCATACTGATGTAGCTTTGAAAAGAATGTGTACCATCAACTTGGCATCGACAGTTATTTTCAAAATCTTTTCATGTTTTTAATCAAAGTGCTCAAGTGTTGTGCTACAATCCATATGCACTGGTTGTCTGTGAGGCAGGGAATGTGAAACGTTTTTTTCGATTAACGTGATGAGATCATCTTCAGTAGATGCCACCATTTTGTTTGAAGCAAAAAAAAGTAATATGAAGGGTGGAATCTGGTTGGTCAATAAGAGGGACATAGAAGAAACATAACTTGTAATAATCCCTGGTGGCACTATGATCGAGCCACTTAATTCCAACCTAATTCAGCAAAAGTGGAAGCTGACCTATACATATATGTTAATGTTTAATAGCAATTTCATGTTTCCAATTCTATCCATCAATCTATCACAGACCAGTGCAAGAACAAACTGGTGTTTCTAATAACTTAATGCAGTGATACCCTGCCAATATGAAAGATACCATTCCAAGTGACATTATCAAGATTAACAAAGTTTTGTTGTTCATGAATCGGGAGTATGGAATAATGTGTTTTTGTTTGTCATGTTCCTGACAGTTGTCATCCAGAAGTCAGGGATTCTGTCCTAACAGGTTCCAGTCTAACATGAATTACTGCTCATCTATATCTTGTTTGCTATAAGATGGTGACTGTTTACCATTGTAGCCTGTGCCTGCAACCAATGTGGCTCGGAAAGCTGTGACAATGGGAATGGTGTCTGTGCTTGCAAACCCAATGTGATTGGCCTGGACTGTGACCAATGTGCAGTGAGTATAACCAACCAATCATAACACAGATGTATAGATGACCATAGAGAGAAATGATGTTTTGTTTAAGAACATAGAGAAATAATATTTTGTTTAAGAACATAGAGAGATAATAAGAACATAGAGAGATAGTGTTTTGTGTCGAGGACCAAGTTTCACAAAGGGATTGTACTACAACTGAAGTAAGCATGACATATCAATGTTACAGAATGGGTGTTACAACAGTTTTGCACCATGATGTCTTTGTAAGGGGGCTCTTGATGATAACTGGAAGGAAAGCAGAATCAAAGAGAAACTAAAAGAGTAAATAATTTAAGATAATAATATGTTAAGTGATGCCAAAATATGGTACAATGTAGTCAAATCAAGTAAAGCATTGTTCAGATTTCCTTATTTGCCTTAACAGCGAGGTAAAATCTCTATCCTAGATATCTATTTGACATATTCCCACCCTGTGTTATGTTTTTGCTCCACTTGCAGCCTTACACATGGGGGTTTGAATACTGTACTGGGTGCAACCGCTGTGATTGTGGGTCTGCCTCCATCTCCCCCCAGTGTGACCTGAGGACTGGTCAGTGTGAGTGCCAGCCCAATGTCCTTGGACAGAAGTGTGACCAGTGCCAGCAGGGCTACTGGAACTATGGTTCTTCAGGATGTCAACGTGAGGACATAAACTGTTTTTATATTGTTGATGTTGTCAGTGCATATTTCATGTGTATCAAATATATGTTCAGCTTTCACACAGGGCTCAGAGAAAACATGACTCATCCACTGTCTTCTTGGGGCAGCACATGCTCACATTTTCACCTAGTATCATCACTATTTGTTAGTTATTCAAAAACACATGGTTTGGAATGATCAGAATCATGTGCAAAGGACATGCCTTTTAGCAGAGATTTCTATTGATTATGTAACTGATTTCAGTGCTTTTCTAGAAAGTTTCACTTTTATGCCTTGAAATACCAAAAAGCCCCTTCATCTTCACTTCTTGTAAGGTTTGTCATTAATTAATTAATTATTTTAGCTTATCCTGGAAACCTCCTGAACTGTGTTCCCAGAGAACTTGCACACCGGAAGCACATGATCAAGCCCGGTTACACATCACTCTCTCAATTTTGCAACAACCGAATGGTTGGGGATAATTTCCTGAGCATTTGTGATCCAAGCCTTCCTAGCAAAGCTTCCTGCATCCCTCAGCACTGTACTAAAGAGCGGAAGTGTAGTTCCTGCTCTCCTTTCGGGGGAGATACATTTTCAGAATATGTATTTGCAGTACAGAGGAAGAAGATGGACGGTAAGAGGGGGGAATCATCTCAAGCTGCATCATCCCTGAGCTGCGTCATCCTCAACACCACACCGACATCCTTTTCAGAGAAAGATAGAGAGCTAGACTTTCTCGGGGGAATTATTTACTAATCTGCTTTCTTTACAGTTAATACCTGCAACTGCTTCCCTGGGTAGCTGAAGTGTTTGACACCCCTGTAAAGGGTACAACCAGGCCAAAGAAAAAATATTCTGCTGATGCCTGCATCATGAAGAAGAATCTACAATCGCTGGCAAAGAAGAAGAATCCTTTATCAACTTCATCAAATTCAATGCTGACAAAGAGTAAACATGTCTGAGCTTATGTGAATATCACAAAGTAGACTGATGCCGCTGACAATGGGTCTTCAAAGCCTGCATCCCAACATGCACAGACAACATCAGCATGCAGCCTTAATGCAGTCCTGAGGGTTCGCACAGCCTCAAGGGTTCATGCAGGTGTTCATGCAGCCTCCCTACACTCAGAAGGCCTTCACACCGCAACCTATCTACACTGAGGTGCAGACTTTCATGCAGCCACCAGCCCTTTCACAGGCACCCTCTAGTGGGCAGCTACCTTCCTTCGCACATCCTGCCAGGTTTATGCAGCCTACTATGGACCCCGACATAGTCACCAATGTTACACAACAAGTTTTACTTGCAATGAACAACATCACACTTTATTTAAGGACTCCAATCAGCATACACCATCTTCATCTTCCTCTGCAGAGAATTTGCAGACTTTCCGCTGTTCATCTTCAGCTTCAAACCCTAGCACTTCATTCCTTTTACAGGAAGAAGACGTGTTTGAGCCACTCTTTGAAGAAGAGTAAAAATCTACAGATCATACCCCCGTTTATCCACATCATTAATTGCAGATAGATACCTATCTCATCACCATCTAGAGAGTCGTCACTGTCAGATACGTTCACCCTTTTTTTCTTGGCGCTGCAGAGATTGACAAAGGTAATACTCTTATGTCTGATTTGAAGTGTAGATTCTACCAAATGGAGGATAAAAAGTTATCACAACTTGACACCACTACAAGATGATCCTTCTTCATGATCAATGAGGCAATGCTTAAGGATGTTTCTCTCTGCATTGATTGCTCAAAAGAAAAGCCAAGAGTTCATCTCAGGCCACATTAGCTCTACGTCTGCCAGCCTTACGCTTTTACGTCGGCAGGGCCTCATAACTAACTCCCTTTGATCAGACCTATATGCAAAGCCTCTTCTTTGTCAGACAAGGAGGTAGTCCAAGATTATGAGGACCAGATGCTGATTAAGTCAGTCCAGATGATGAATTCTATGTAGTCTGTACAAAGAACACAGTTTATAAGCATATTCTCCGGCATCCAAAGGGCTAAAGACAGATGTTATTCCCACAGATGGGGGAAGTCAACTTCTCTTCGTAAGTCACAAGACAAATTCAAGTAACCAATCCATGCATGGCAGGGGATCCAGGTGATCTCATGCCTATCATTGATGGGATGCTGACAACCAACTAGGACATTCCACCTCCAGCCGTTTGTAATCAGCCTATAACAATAGATGGCAGATATTGGAGAAACTTGGACATTCTAGATGATCCATTTGTCAGCAACATTCTCAAGAAGGGCTACAAACCAACACTTTGAGAGGAACCACCCCTCACACTCACCTCATTGGCCATTATATATCTGGACAGGTTAAAACCCAAGCAAGGAAAGGCAATAAACACCCTTCCATCGAAGGGTGTGGTTTAAAGAGTGCAGCCTGATGCCCTACCTCTGGTATTTTATTCCCCAATTTTTCTGGTCCCCAAAAAGAACTCAACAGAAAAGTTTCATTTAATATACAAGATGAAAGATTTCAACAGGAAATATCTTAAAAAACGGACAAGTTTAGAATGCCTCACCTACCGCATCTGAAGCACCTAATAAGACGGCGGCACAATCATCTTGTAAGCATCGACCTTCAAGACACTTGCCTATGTCCCCATTCATCCTACCTTTCCAGTTTGAAGGACAACATTTCCAGTGGGCAGTCCTGTACTTTTGAATTTCTATGGCTCTGTGGTTGTTTTCTCAGGTGACCAAACCAATTGTAGATTTCATACTCAACAAGGGGATACGCAGCACATTCTACATGGGCGATGGGATTCAAGCACATGAAGTTGTCCATCTACTCGGAGATTGTATTCTAACATTATTAACAGAGACTTAGTGGTCTTATCAGTTCCCGGGCGGTCGGGTAGCCTAGTGGTTAAAGCGTTCGCTCGTTACGCCGAAGACCCGGGTTCGATTCCCGACATGGGTACAATGTGTGAAGCCAGTTTCTGGTGTCCCCCGCCGTGATATTGCTGGAATATTGCTAAAAGCGGCGTAAAACAATACTCACTCACTCACTCACTCACTTATCAGTTCCCAGAAATCAGACCTCACTCCATCACAAGACCTCAAATTCTTGGGAATCCAATTCCTCACAAGGAAAAATTTATTCAGGTGCCAGGTGGTCAGTGGACAAAGATTCAAAGCTATCTACGGGTTCAACTAACAGTCAACGACATTTGTCTCACCAGTTCCAGACCCACTAGCTTGAGCCGAAGACGCCCTGGTGATATCTTGGGAAGGGTGACACCCTTATGTGTTCTGACCACCGGCACTAATACCTATTACTGCTTTTGATCACGATTTACTGGCTGACTACGACTTGGTCACCAGAGCTCGTCATGTTTCCAGGGATACCAACGGTTAAACTCCCAAACTGGCAAAACCTTCTTCATCCTCATATCATGCAAGTTCATCAAAACCCAGATGCTTACGAACTTCACGTATGTAACATATACTGTTCAACCTTACTAGATATTCTGGCAGAGCAGCCAAGGCAGTCTCCCTAGCCCTTCGCAGATCTACAACGAATTTATTAGATGATAGATGAAACAGCTTTGACCAGTTTGTGACCTATAAACATGACCTATGAGTATAAAGGTTTTACAGCAACCAACACTACCCTACCATAAGTAGCAGAATTCCTTTGCCATTTGTGAAGTACAAAGAATTTCAAAGGAGGCTCAACATATGTTGCAGCAATTAGTTCCATGGTTACAATGCATAACAGAATCAAGTTCACCAAAGTGGTCTTACATCCTTGCTGAAGATCAGCAGAAGATATTCAGAGCACCAGTCTGAGATCTGAATGTGGTACTCTACCACCTCACCAATGAAGCAAATGAATGAATCTAACTCATCTAAGACATTATTTCTACTAGACTAGAATGTCTGAAATTCATGCAATCGATTTCTCACATACTTGACTTGACAGCGGCCAAAATGCATCGGATTTTTTCCCGAAGAATCAGCCAGACAGACAGATTCATATTCCACCACTTTCATCAGTTCTAGGGTCTGAGGACACCTTGGATTTATCCATTTTAAGCTCTATGCATCTCCCTGAACAGATAAGGCACCAGACGTCAAAACTTAAGAAGGTTGTTCATTCCGTTATCTAGGATAAATACCACAGAAATATCCAGCACAAACATTTCCTTCTGGATGAGAGCAGTAGTCCTCAGAGCCTATAGAGTGGCAAGGCCAGCCCCCCTTCAACCTTCAAACGACATGAAGTGAGAGCCATAGCATCAACGTTGGCACTGCATGGAAACTGCTCTATCCTTACAATTATGGAAGGCTGTTTGTAGATATCGGATACGGTTTTTGCTTACCATTACCTTAGATTTTTCTGTGTGGATGTGGCTGGAATTCACGTGCTTAGTGGTCGCACAACAATTAACTATGCCTAACAGAAGATAGGCCTTACTACCAGAAAACTCATCCAGTATTCATGTAGACTTATTGAAGTCTGGTTACTGTCCCATTAAGTGAGAGAGTGATGAGTAAACCTGCTTGGACATGTGCTTCTGTTGTGCATGTGCAGTATAGGGGTGCATTTGGGTGAGATGTTTTCTCTGTTCTCAAGGAATACAGTTCAGTCCACTATCTTTCAAAAATGATTAGAGATAAACAATAAGTATGAGTCAGGATAAGTATAAATAATATTTTTAGCCTAAAGTATATATAATTTTAGGGATAGTACACTTTAATGCACTGATTCTAATTCATGCTTTTGTTTTCTCTGATCAGTGCAATTCAATATTAATTCAAGCCATATCATCACTTTATTTGTTCAAATATTTATCAGAAACAGTTATGATTATTGCTATTTTGGAATCTTTCAAAATGAAAATATTGCCTTGAATATATATTATTTGGATTATTTAGGCCCTAGGGTTCATTACCATTTGTAAATGCTCATACAGGAAGATACCATCCCCAAGAACTTGACATACAATGGAACCATGACATGACAGATACATTTACTGTTGGGCTGTTTTCAGGCTGTGAATGTATGGGAGATGGAGCTGTTACCTGCGATGCCGACACTGGGCGGTGTCAGTGCTTGCCTGGTGTCACTGGGGAGATGTGTGACAGGTGCTTGGATAGATGGGTCCTCATACCAGAAGTTGGATGTCAAGGTATTGCATCTTCTGTGTGTGGAATTAATATCTTTCCCTGGCAGCTGTGTATTCATTGTATTTTGTGATTATTCTTTGTAAGTTGCAGGGAACTGCAGATTATTATGGTATTCAAGGGGCAGTAGACAATTACCAATGAAAATGAGGGTCAGGTATCCAAAATATAGGTCCAGGGTACTCACAGTGCTGAGAAGCGCAGGGTCATTTGTTTGTGTAAACAAAGAGAAAACAATCTGAAGCACTGACCATTTGTGATTAGCCTGAATAACTACTTGTGCCTTATGTTGTCAGAATGCGGCTACTGTGTTCATCTTCTGATGGATGACCTTGACTTCATGGACAGGAACGTCACAGTAAGTCGGCGCACGCTGGCTAGTGTGTCTGTGGGAGTTGCTGCCTTCCAGAAACTGTCCGAAATCAACCAGACCATAGCTGACCTCAGGGTAAGAAGCTTGTTCCCTGGTCTTGCATGAGGATGTTATCCTACTGATTCTTGTATTTGTTTGTTTGCTGTTTAATGCTGCACTCAGCCATATTCCAGCTACATGATGGCGGTCTGTAAATAATCATGAGCATCAATCCACGTAATTGGGATACAATGACATGCATCAACCAAGTCAGCGATCCCAAAAGTAGAATTTTTACAGCAAGCATGGGTTGCTGAAGATCTTTTCTTCCCTGGATTCAATTCTTGTAAATTATGCAGCTATTATATTGTGAAGGGGGTGAGGGCAATAGTATGATTTGGAATTTTTTTTATCTGGGTAAAAGTATTAAAGGATGTTCTAGCTGTTTTAGAACTAAACTAGTTGGTCTTAAGTACAGATTAGTGGTCAAGTGTGCCTCGTTAGGCCTACATGCACCTATTGTAGCCTGTTATTTTTCTCAACATTAAGTTTCATTGAAACATTCTAGTATTTACAACACCACAAAGTGAAATAGAAACCTTATGTCCTACATATTCTTCATATGTAACCATATGATATAACTAAAATACTGTTGAAAGAAGTGCTAGAGCAAACTCATTCACTCAAATTGAAATCCTGCTTCTCTGTTGTCAGCCTCAAGTTCGCAACCTGTACAAGAACACGGATCCCATCGATGTCACCCCGTTTGTGGACGAGATTGAAAAACTAGGAGAAAACGCAATGACAACTTTAAATCGAGTAAGTATCTCTTTTAATTTTGAATTGTAACTTCGATAACTTAGATAAATAGATTACCAGTTATACAAAAAGGCATCCATTGCACGATGACTTAATGGTTAGCAAGATGGACAGATTCCGCTATGTTCTACAGTGACTGTGTCTTGTGTTCAGGCAGTGACTAGTATGGCGGAGGCTAAAGCCCTAGAAGGTGAAGTGGACTCCCTGCAGACAGATGCCTTTGACATAGAGAGGGTCATCGCTCAGAGCGCTCAGGAGGGCAGTGGTAAGATGCTTCAGCAAATAATACCGGGATTTATGTTGAGTGTTCATTTTTCATACGTAAGGCTTCAAAGATACTTTCTTCTTTGATTGTAGAAATGTGTCAAGACTTTGTTTGAGTAAGCCAATGTTAGTAGCTGACCTGCTTGAAAAAAAACCTTCAAATCACCCTCTTTAAGAGCTGCAATTTGATGGGTGGAATGTTATTATCCCCCGCCGCGCGAAAGCGCGAAGCGGGGGATATAGTATTCACGACCGTCCGTACGTCCGTCCGTACGTCCGTCCGTCCGTACGTCCCACCTGTTTGTTGCCGCGATATCTCAAGAACTAAACACTGGATTGTCTTCATATTTGGAACTATGGTGTATATACAGACTCCGCAGACACCAGTCAGTTTTGGTGACCTTGATCCCATTTTCAAGGTCACAGCAGACAAATCTGCTTTTAGAGTTGGAAAACGGTGTTGCCGCGATATCTCAAGAACTAAACACTGGATTGTCTTCATATTTGGAACTATGGTGTATATACAGACTCCGCAGACACCAGTCGGTTTTGGTGACCTTGATCCCATTTTCAAGGTCACAGCAGGCAAATCTGCTTTTAGAGTTGGAAAACGGTGTTGCCACGATATCTCAAGAACTAAACACTGGATTGTCTTCATATTTGGAACTATGGTGTATATACAGACTCCGCAGACACCAGTCGGTTTTGGTGACCTTGATCCCATTTTAAAGGTCACAGCAGGTAAATCTGCTTTTGGAGTTGGAAAACGGTGTTGCCGCGATATCTCAAGAACTAAACACTGGATTGTCTTCATATTTGGAACTATGGTGTATATACAGACACCGCAGACACCAGTCGGTTTTGGTGACCTTGACCCCATTGTCAAGGTCACAGCAGGCAAATCTGCTTTTGGAGTTAGAAAACGGTGTTGCCGCGATATCTCAAGAACTAATCGCTGGATTGTCTTCATATTTGGAACTATAGTGTATATACAGACACCGCATACACCTGTCAGATTTGGTGACCTTGACCCCATTTTCAAGGTCACAGCAGGCAAATCTGTTTTTGGAGTTGGAAAACGGTGTTGCCACAATATCTCAAGAACTAATCGCTGGATTGTCTTCATATTTGGTACTATGGTGTACAGGCGGGGGATATTTCGTCACTCTGTGACAAATACTTGTTCTCCATTGCTTCTAATGTCACCAAGGCAGATGTATGTTGGGGTTGGTTGTTTTCATATTGAAGGTATGTTTCTATATCAGTTTGCTGTGAAAGATTCAGGAAATAAGGAATAAGAGTGAAAACAATACCTTGTATGATGAAGCAACTAATTGTAGATAACATGTCATCAGTCAGTTTCATGGCACTAGATGATATACAGGCACCGCATCATCATGGAAATATTCCTGAGAAATGAAAAGTGGTAGGAGAAAGTTTGATAGACCTAAATAACTTAAGTGAGTTTGGGTGTACCTGTGTAGAGGTGTTGTGAACTGCGACTTGGTTTCAGCTGCTGTGACGGACGTCAACCAGGTATTAGAACGTATCCTGGCCGGAATCCAGGTGGCCAACATTGAAACATACATCCGAGAGGCAGAACGCATCTTGCAGGAGATTGTGTCCAGAGACTTTAGCCCCAGGAATGAATCTGCTCTCATGGAACTGATGGAGGCACAGAAGGGTATGAAGAAGATGCACTTTAGAAATTAAGCCATTCAATTCTTTATTCAGTGTAGCCAGCAATATTGTGGAGATTGATCTTGTTGCTTGTGAAGTGTATAATGTTATGAGGAAAGACGTAATGATGTGTGGATGGAGCATTGTCAAAAATGGAATTCAAGTTCAATGAAGAACTTTATTGAAACACAAATGCAAATTCCATATACTTTGGGAAGTTTAAAGTATTTTGTTAATTTGTGTGGAAATTTGAATGCTCAGATTTCTTGTTTTATGCTTCACTTGTACTGTCAGTTTATTTGGTCAGAAATGTTCAAGTTATTTTGACAAGTACTGAAGACTCATCTCAATGTTAGTGATCAGTAACAGGTCATTGTCACTGAACATGATATATATAGCTGGCTGTTATTATATTTTAAAAAATGATGTTCCTGACTTCAGTACAAGGTCTGAAGCCTATTTCATGTGTCCCCTGCCATGATATTGATGGAATATTGCTAAAAATGTAAAACTATTCTCTCTTCAAATGGTCTAAATGTTCCTCAGTTGAAATCTCTTAACACATTGTACACCAGCCCTGCTCTATTCCCTGTTTCAGCCCTGAACCGGTCCGATCAGCTTCAGATGGCCGCAGCAGTGCAGCTGGAGCTCCTCAACAATATCCAGGACAACATCACTGATGCTGAGGCTCGATACAACGATCTGCGGAATAATACTCATTTCTCTGACATTGACTCCAGGAAGGCCCATGAACTTTATGATCAGTTGAAAAACAATGACCTGGCAGTACTACTGGTTAGTTTAACATAAGTTTGATGTGATATACACCATTTATGCCACGTTAATCACTTATTTATGACTAAGCGTCACGCGAGTTTGTTCAACTTTTTAATGTTAACATGGAATGTGCCATACTGTTTAAGTATAGCCACGTCTGTTGCTACTGGGCTAGGCCATGTTAATTGACATATCTACTTGTACTAGGCATTGTCATTGCTGGGATTTGCATTTTTGGGTCTTCAGGGATAAGTTTACATCAAGGCTGGCTGTGCCAATGTAGCTTAGATTCAAAACATTGCCATCATGTGGTGTTATGTTGTATATTTAGATAATAACCTACTCAAAACTCAACCTGTAATTCTATCTGTCAAGAGTGACTGAGCCTTTGGCCATGACTTAAAGCTTTCTTTCACAAGTGACAGATAATCCATAGTTCTGAGGTATTCGAAATACAATGTGGAGCTTCTATTTTCTACTTTTTTGATGTTGATGTCCATTTTTTTATATCTTTGGATTGATATTCAATTTTGTCATTTTTAACCATACACAAGCAAGCGAAGTCATTTTTCTACTTATTTTGATATTTATCGTCCTGTTTTCAAAATAGTGCGGTTTGTGTGTGCAGCTACATTACTAGCATCAATGCATGTGTACCCATGCTTCGTGTTCATTTTAGGCCTAACAAAAATGTCAAACGAAAACCAGCATCATGTCATGGCACTCTTACCATGACTCTTTTTCTGATTACTCCAAACTTCCAAAGCTTCAATTAGGGTTGGCGTCTCTGCATATATTGGTCATGGCCATTTTAACAGAGAAAAAAACAACAAAAATACAGTATGAAATGTCAACCCTTCCAAGAAACTTCATAGAAGGCAGCCTGTTATTCAGATGACATAATCAATTTGTGACATGAACAATGGATGACATCATGTCATCTTTTTCTCAACAATGAAGCACTGACATCATATGGCTTCAACTGACCAATCAGCATTGAGAATTGCAAAAATGCACATTCGTAAATATCAGAAAGTTATTCCACATAATCATTCTACAATACAATATTTTGTTGCTCTGTATGTTATATATAGACATTCTGTATATTTAATGTAAGGTTACATAGCATTTAGTCACCTATTTGGAGATAGAAGTGATGTGCAAGTAAACAAGTTTGTTTGCAGGAAGACATTAAAGACATCCGTGCATTGGAGAAAAATATAATTGGCGTGTTGGATGATGCCAATGAGATGATTAGTGGTGCGAGAGATGCACTCAACAGGAGTGAGGATGCCTTTGTGGTAAGTAAAACCATTGTGCACCTAGTGGCTGTATACTTTCATTAGACTTATCAGTTATTTGTGTCACAGTTTGTAGTTAGGAAGGAAATTAACTTTGGAGCTTTTGGCATAATACTTAACCTCTTCATTGAAGACACCATGAAACTATTTCCAGTATTGCAGATGATTCTCAAATCCCCATCCATGTAAAATTATGAGATGGGAATAAACATATTTAGTTTTGTCCTTTCGCCCCTATATCATATAAACTGGATGCAATAGCATTATTAATAAAGGTTACCTTGTTGAAGTAGATGTGGGCTCCATTGATGCTCACTTGAGATGAGTCAGATGAAAAACTGACAGAACATGTCATCTGAAAGGTATCAATAAGCACCATCATCCATTAACAAAAGGAGAGTGTTTCTGTTCAGGCTCTACAAGATGTGGCAGGCCAGTTGGATACAGCCTTTGTCGGCATGACCGAGTCGCAGGGTGCACTGACTAACAAGCTTCAGAAGCTGGAGCCCTTGGTCAACCAGAGCATGCAGAAAGCAGATGACCTCGAGGACCAGGCTGAGGCCCTTGACCAGTGAGTTGACTCACACCCCTGATTTTATTACTGTGCAGGTCCCTGTTCCACAAAGCGATCTGACCACTGCAGCTAGATCTATGTCAAGTTATGGAAGTTACAATCACCTTTGTGCAAAGATAGCTTTGTGGGAAAAGGTCCTCAACAGTTGCTATATTATGCACTCTATTCGGCCAATACACTTTAATCACATGTAACATGTGGTTAACAGATTTGGGTGTTGAAAATGCAATGCAATACGCAGTCAATCGTGCAGTTATTATACCCCCTACAAAATGTCTGGGGTATATAGTTATACCAAGGTTCCGTCCGTCCGTCCATCCATCCATCCGTCTGTCCATCTGTCCGTCCGAAAACTTTGTCCACGCAATTTCTCTTAAACTATTCAGTGGATTCATCTCAAACTTAGTACATATAATCTGTGTCATATGGAGGGGCGCAGTCAAAGGAAAAAAATTGTTTTTATTAATTTTCCAATTTCTTAATGAATTTTTCAAACCCTTAATGAATTTTTTCTTGTGGTGATTAGTATTATAATCAAGTCATGTTAATCAGACACTTGTTAATCCAATAATCGCCTATATCCAACACTAATGATGGGAACCGATCAAATCAGTGGTATTTTGAACCGTTAAACTGACTTTCTCGCACTCCGACTCCAACACACCTTTTAATTTGCAACAAATTACCAAAATCACTCATCAGTCTCGTTAATTTGACACAGTGATCAGCGTACTCCATTGTCATCTCCCCGTGAGTACACAGCCCCACGTTTTGATGCGAGAAGAGTCTGCTAGTAGCTGCATATTACAGTGGCTACAGAGATAAACCTGCTTAACAATAAACAATTAATGCTTTAAATAAACAAAACAGGATTAATCACATGCTTAGATTACCTCAATCTCATTAATATCAGATACAAGTTCTTGCTACCGCTGAGGACATCTCATTACAGGACACATCAGAACGACCTTTTGCGAGCTTTGACCAATGAAATGACTAACAGGAAGTCAACATTAGCCACTAAGAAAGAAGCTTTCTTGAGCTTTTTGGCACATTCCAGACTGTTTAAATTATTTTGAATCAGTCATACAGCTCGTACCAGATATTTTGTGTTAAGCAGTGGAGGTTGCATGATTAGAAAACATTCTGCTGACAATGTAACATAACAATATGAATATTTCATTTTTATTACGTGTTTGAATCGTTATCTATCTTAGAGTTGTCCGATTTTCGGTCACAAGCGTTGATACTACTTAATTATTACTTTTTTCATACTCTGAAATAATCAACCAACCATGTTGATTAACGGGACATGACTGTAGATTACTAATATAAGTAAGGTATGGATCTCAGATATTCCTAAATGACTCAATTGTCATGTATGCCTGGAAGGCATTGTACTAAGATATGTAGACTCGGTTGTGTGAAGGTATCAGTTGCACAGAATGTGGCAAATTTGAAGTGATGTGATGCCTTTCTCTGACTCTCCGTCCAGGATGTATACAGACACAAGGCAGGTGGCCGCTAATGCTGTCCAAGCTGCCAATGCCTACAAGGATATAGTGGATGCCATCAACAGTGCTGAAAATGCTTCTGCCAGTGCAGAACAAGATGGACAGGATGCTCTCACCAAAGTTAGTTGTCCAAAACCTTTTGGGTCTTTTTGCCTGCATTTCACTATACAGATGATACCTGTTAAGATCCCGTAGGGAATAAGTCTTTAATATCTGGTTGGGAATAGGTCTTCAGTATCCATGTAGGGAATAGATCTTCAGTATCTGTTTAAGGAATAGGTCTTCGATATCTAGGTTGAGAATAGGTCTTCAGCAACCCATGCTTGGTTTAAGAGGTGACTAACGGGATCTGATGGTCAGGCTCACTGACTTGGTTGATGCATGTCATTTATTTACAGACCGCCATCATATAGCTGGAATATTGTTGAGTGCAGCGTTAAACACCAAACAAACAAAACACTGTGCAGATTTACATCCATTGTGGGTTCGAATCCAAATAAAGCCTTGTGTTATGTTTCTTGGTTTGTCAGCACCATACCCATACCTGTGGGTTTCACTAACTTGGTAAGTGTCAAGACCTGCATCACTGTGGGCTTTCCGCACACATTAAGCCGATATGCTGTGATGTAACTGGAACACTGTATAATGCGGCATTAGCCCAAGCTCAGTAACTGATTAGGATGGGTGACTACCGGTGAAACTTTGACTGTATCGGGATATTACTGGAGCATTTTAAACATGCACTCAGACCTTTATCATGCTATGTCATACTTGCACTCATTTCTTGAGTAATATTCCTAGAGACTAATTTTTTAAACCTTTTTTCAAGGTTACTGTGATAATACATTGTGTGTGTGCTAGTGTGTGAGTATGAGAGTGAGAGAACACTGTGGATTATCTCGTTGATCTCTCCTTTCCAGTCCAGTGGTGTTGGTGACAAATCTGCCAAGTCCAGGGAGCGCAGCATTACACTCTTGGCATCGGCAGACATTGCCCATAATTATACAAAGAACGGTACTTCTAAACTCTTGGATTTTTTCGTGTACAAGATAGGAAATACTCCAAACTAAAATACACATTAGGGAGTGGAATGAGTTGTTATTGCTGAGTATTACAACAGTATGTAATGGTGGAAAACTGGTTTTTAAGGAATTTTGTTTCTATGACTTTGAAGAGCCCCTGGAAACAGGATTGTAGCTTCTATGAAGGCAGCTTATTTAATGACAAACATCCCTCATGCTAAGATTTGGCTAGTACCTTGTAGAGATTCAATCATACATTTTCACAATGAATATATGAAGTAATTTCGATAAATGGTTATATAGGAACTAATAATGTATCCATCAAAACATGTACTGAAGATTTCACGTCACTATATGGCTGAAATATTGCTGATGTGACGTTAAATTTTAACTCACTCTCTATACTGAAGATTTACTTTCAAAGCGGCATGTAGGACTTTGTTGAACGGGGTGTATGTTTAAAGTAACATAGCATGAGGAGATAAGGATGAGGCTGTTTTGTTGACAGACCTGCTTGATAAACTGAACAGAGCTGTCACTGCCACGGCCAGCCTCGATCTGATGACTTTGAAAACAGAGGAGGACTTGGATGAAGTTACAGCTGCTCTTCGCGACCTACCTTCACGTATGTAATCTTCATGTTGAGACTGTAAATTACTTTGTAAATGGATGTAGATAGGCTAATGGTAAAAGACCTTTAGAAACAGACAAAAGATCAGGATTTCCTGATGTGTTCATTTCTGTGTACCATATGTCCCTGCTTAGCTTACAATACTTCACTTTACCTCAGGTGATTCTGGAGATCGAGCTATGAAGGTGACGAATGAATCATTGGATGCTAACTCGCGTGCTGGAGGTGCGCAGGAGCGCGTGAAGTCAATCCTGTTCCTGCTGCCTGAAGACAAGAGCAAGCTCGAGCAGCTCACCAACCAGAAGTTTGCTACCAAACGGCTGTTGGAGGGGGTTCAGAAACAAGGTTGGAGACGTGACATGTCACCAGGAGTGACAGAACCCCATGAAACCTCCCTTTCTGAAATGTGTAAATTCACTGAAATGTGTAAATGTGATCTACCTAGGTATTTTGTGTATTTTTTACTTATCCTGCATTACTCCTTAATGCATTCACTGCTTACCTTGTGACCAAAAAACTGGGACAGGGCCCCAGCGATGGTCCTGGGTAAAGATAAATAAACTGTTCCTGAATCCCTCTTTTATACCATGCCGTCGCCGTCCCTGTAACCTCATGTGACCTAGGTCACCTCTTCACCTCTTCACATCACTGCCTGTCGCGCTACAGCTAGGACGTGTACCAGCAGAGCTCTCGTTTTGGATTTATTTAGACCTTCAGTTTTTGTCTACTATTGTAAAATTCCTCTGCGACATGTGATGTATTCCTTTCATATTACTTTCAACATGTTGTGAAGTTGTATGTGATTTATTTAGGCGTAAAAAGACTTTGTCTTATTTTCCCACCACGTGCTACCTGTTCCCTGCCATTTTGAATTGTGTTACAATTGTTTGCCTGCCAGGGTAGTCAATTTGTTTACAATTCTCAGCTATGTATGTATAACATATTTCATGTGTGTTTGAATACTACCAGCTTTGAATACTACTAGCATTGAGTTGCGTATATACAAATCATTGAATACACTTTCAACTTGTTACAAAATTTGCCGTTAAATTATTAATTGTCTACAGCAGTTTTTCCAGTCCCTTTTCATCAAAGTATCTTTATTGCATAACTTATGCTTGCGTGTTGTACTAATTGTTGTGGAGAAAAATCTATTAAAGACCCTCATCCACGTTGTTTCACATGTACGCAAATTTGTGCACCAAATTCTAAATGTGATTTTTGTGTAAATCTCTCTCCAAAGTGTTTTACAAGGTATAGGCAGGTCACAAACATATTTTGCAGCAATCCCATCGTGAGACTAGGAAGATCCAATCGCTGATTAGCGAGGGACAGGATTCGGTCATTACGACGCAACCTTTATCTTTGACGGGTAATATGTTGGCTGTTACTGTGCGTAAGTGCACGTTCCGCCGAAATCCTCTAATCCAGAGGATCTTGTGAGTATTATAATTGACCCTAATTTGTAGTCATCTGAGAATTCTACATCTGCTAGATCTGCGAACAGTGCACCTGTGTCTCAAGATGCCTCATGGGGGTAGCGCAAATCAAAGCCACACACATGCCTACACCATTGAGCACATCCCCGGATGTCAAAACATTCTGTCTGATGCCTTATCGCATGGAAACTTCACACAGAAGCATTTCAGTTACTGCTTTGGAAGTTCAGGCAACCAAACATTGACCTGTTTGCAACTTGCCAAAATTACCAACTCATGACGTATGTCTCCCTGTTACCTGATCTGAAGGCTTGGGCGGTGGATGCGTTCAGCATCCCTTGGGAAGGACTAAAAGCGTATGCCTTTCCGCCACCAGTCTTACTTCCCAGGGTAATACAAAAGATCAAGGAGACAAGGACACTTGCTCTGACTTTGGTCGAGCCTTTGTGGCCGGTGAGAGGGTGGTTCGTCGAGCTCAGAAATCTAGCAGAAAACGATCCACTACCCCTCCAACAGTGGTCCAACCTACTTATCCATCCTCACAGCAAATTGCCTCATCCAACACCAGACAGGTTCCGTCTGCATGGTTGGTTCATCTTAAAAAGGTGTTAAGTGCAAAGGGCTCTTCGGCATGGGCAGCAAAGGCTTTAACGTTAGCTCATCGTTCCTCTACGAGAAGCCTTTACGATGACAAGTGGGGATCATTTGAAACATTTTGCAAGGCAAAAAGTCAAGACCCTACTTATGCGTCACCTCAGTTTTTAGCTGAATACCTCCTACATTTGCTTACCCAAAGACACTTGAAAGGGAGCACCATTACTACGTATTTGGTTGCACTGAACTCAGTGTTGGCCGTTCCGGATAAGAGTAAGATGACTGAGGTCCCGGACCTACAGGCCTTATTACGCTCATTCAGGCTTGAGGATCAGAAGACCAAGTTCCGCCCACCTGCATGGGATTTGAACTTCGAGGTTTGCAAGGGCGCCCCTTCGAGCCCCTCTATGCATCCTCTTTTTATGACCTCACCAAGAAAACAGTGTTTCTCTTGGCGTTAGCCACAGTGGCACGGGTGAGTGAACTACATGCGATCGACATCACCTGGGTTCGTTTTGAGCATGGGACGCACGGAGCGGTGCATCTCGGGTTGTGCTGGGATTTTATTGCTAAGAATCAATTACCAGGCAAACCTGATCGTTCCTTCACCATTCCACTATTATCAACAATTGTGGGTAGTGAAGATGAGGGTGAACTTATAATATTATGTACGGTACGGACACTGCGAATTTTCATCCGCTGTTCCAAGAGTAGGCGTAGTTCCAGGAAGCGGTTATTTATACCCGTATCTGCTATGTCCCGACCGAAGTCAGTCGCAACACCATATCTCTATGGTTACGTGCAGTCATCCTTCAGGCCTATTCGATCACCAGTTTATATCCACCAAGAGCGATTAATCCTCATGAGATCAGGGCACTAGCCTCTACCATGGCCTTACACAGCAATTGTACTATTAAAATAATCATCGAAGGATATTTTTGGAGGTCTGACACAGTTTTCGCCAGTCAATATGTTCGTGATGTGACTCGAGGACGATGAAGGTGTACAGTTTTGGGCCATTGGTTGCAGCTCAGCAAGTTACCAACCCTCCACGCAAATAATGAACTCGACCTATACAGAGCCTTTCCCTTTCTGGTGCAGTCGATCAGATTTTGCCAGTGGAAGAATATTAGACAAGCAATTGTCCACAGGGCTCAATTTTTCGAGTAAGTAAAGATTTGGCTGATGAGCTATATGTCTTTATTACTAAAGATGTATAGGGAACTACTCTTTAATTCCTATGTGCAATTTTTTTTTCACATAGATAGAACCTCCCTTGCCTCCCTTTGGCTTCAGAAACCTCATAAGTATGTTTTTCAAGCTCGAGCTACTGGCAGTGATGTGAAGAGGTGACCTAGGTCACGTGAGGTCACAGGGACGGCGATGGCATGGTATAAAAGATGGATTCAAGAACAGTTTATTCATCTTCACCCAGGACCATCATTCTTTTTGTCACAGGGTAAGCAGTGAATACATTAAGGAGTAATGCAGGATAAATATACAAATGTAAAAAATATTTAGATTTTACTAAATCACTTGGAGGAGATATTTTTAGATGAAGAAAAAGATTATTTTGGGGCTTATGTTAATTGTGTTTGTGATTGTACTTGTATGGTGTCATGTTCAAATGATTAACCTCTGGTCCAGGCCAGATAACATGTTACAGGCTGTTATAACAAAACAATGCTACTGACTACGGCTAAAAGGGACTTTCACTGTCTCCCTTACTACATGCATACATGTAGGCATTTGACTCTTTCTTAGCATGGAGGATTGAAAAATTGTTTCAGTGAACAGTGCACGAGACGTCCGTCGTCTGACCCTCCTTCTAACCCCCCTGGGAGAGCAGGCTCGCAACATGACAGGCATCAGCAGCAGGGTCAACATCAACATGGCGCAGCTCAAGGAGAAGATAGCACTGGCCAGAGACGAAGCTAACAGGGTAACAGTCGTTGCAATAATGATCTCGCAACATTAAATCAACAGAGAATTATCCTTCAACTGGACAAGAATTTCCTTCAGCAGGACAATCTTTCTTGGCAACATTCAGAAAATTATGATGACAATGTTATCTCAGATTAATTGTGTCTGGTTGAAATTTGTGCTATCGTTTAAGCATGTAAATAGGAGAGCACAGCAGTATCTTTTGTAAGAATTTGGTTATGGTTGTGCTTTATTTTACAGATCCGAGTTGGAATCCGATTTGTGGGCAACACAAGTCTGACACTGCGTAACCCAGCCAATCTGGAGCAAGCAGGATCCTACAGCAAGATCTCCCTGTTCTTCAAGACCACCCAAGAAGATGGTTTGCTCTACTACATGGGAGGAGACCAGAGATCAGGCAGACAAGTAAGTTGAGTGATGGCTGGATAAATACTGAAATGTTCAATCAGTGCACGACAAATCATGATTCTTTGAAATAGGGCTGTTTTTGACAGTTTGATTACCGGTAAGTGTAAATGTTACTGTAGAGCTCGGTTCAAATGACCAGTAACATCACAAAGACAAGTCCCATCTTGTACCGAGTTGACAGCTGCATTGTCTGTATAAGATTGCCTTCAATTAGGTGATAATGAATTATTCACTAGATTTTCTCCCCACCTGCTTCACTACAAACACTGAGTCTTATTTATTATTGTCTCCAAATATTGGCAAAGAAAATCACTGTTTTTCTTCTTCTTTCTTTCTTTCTTTACTTAAGAAATATACCATATTCATAGTCCTTCCACACCCATGAAGATTCCCAGTTAGAATTGGTCTTCAACCAGCCCTGATTGCCATAAAAGCCGACAATGCTTGCCGTAAAAGGCAACTATACTTATTGTAAGAGGCGACTATACTCATTGTAAGAGGTTACTAACAGGATCAGGCCTTCAGGGTCGCTGACTCCGTTGATGTATATCATCATATCCGAGTTGTGTAGAACGATGCTCATGATGTCAGTCTCTGGATTGTCTGGTCCAGACTTGATTATTTACAGACCGCCGTCATATAGCTGGAATATTGCTGAGTATGGTGTTAAACAACAAACGAACAAACAAACATTGTCCTACCAAGCATACACACATTATGTGAATCACATTTATTGACAGTCAGTACACGCATATGCCTTGAACAGTTTTAGACAATTACAAAAATATAAAAATATGTCTCACTTTTCTAAATCTACTTATTAGTTTATTATGGCCTAAGATTTGTGATTTTGTTTCAGGACGACTACATTGCCCTGGAACTGGTGAAGGGCCAGGCTGTGTTCCGGTTTGACCTTGGGTCTGGTCCTGCCACTATAATCAGCCCTGAAACCTACAACGATGGCCAATGGCATCAGCTCACCGCCACAAGGTCAGGATAAGTTTCTCTGCCCCATGTGGGTATTCCGGATTATGAATAGGTCCCAAGCAACCTTTGCTGAATGTAAGAGGGGACAAAATGGATTGGGTAGTCAGACTCTGTGCTTGGTTGATTGCATTTCATCATACCCCTATGGCGAAGATTGTTGATCATGATATCAATCACTGGATTGTCTTGTCCAGACTTGATTATTTACATGCTGTCATCACATAGATGGAATATTAATATGTGTGTTGATAAACAACAACCAGGATAAGTTTCTCATGTCATTAGGTACATGACAGTAAATGTTCAACCTATTCCCACACAATACAAGACTACTGCTACTTATTAATGACATTGTAAATAGCAGTTCTGTTTTTCTATGACAATTACTTTTTCTTTTTGGTTATAGAACAATAAGCACTATTCTGTCCAGGGGTCCGGAAAATTTAAAATCCCAATCGGACATTTGCATTTAGGCCACGCCCCCTTCAAATAGCGTTTTTAGTATGACTTTTCACACACATTACAAGTTTACGTATTCATAATATGATGAATTATGAATTGTTTCAATTTAAATTGTTTAATTCACCGGACAATTAATAACAAATAATATCATTTTAGATTTACATGGAAAACATACGTTTGTTTCTGTTATAATAACGATCTGTTAACGTAGTGAACGGTCTAATTAATATTCATGAGTTATATTCATGAGTCTGCTCAAGTGTACGCGTTGTAACATTTGGATCGAGACTATTATCCCATATTTGGTTATCACGTGACCTCACGGGAAAAGTGTTTTTTTTTAACTAAAGATTTTTTTAAAAACAAGACAGATAATTTAATCACAAATACTAAAATATCGTTGATAGCAATAGTTATTTGAATACTTTTTTCATCTGTACTTTATTATTGACCATAAAAAAATTGGATATCGATCGTCCGAGAAAGCAAAATGGCGGTCAATCAAGATTCAATATATGACTAGCTACTGAAAAAAATAAAATCTGCAAATCCTCATTGTATGTCAACCAAGTGAAAGTCGTTAGCCACGACTTACAAAATGATCGTCCAGACTTTGAGGGTTTGGCAGATCCGCTCGACTGATCTGCATCGGTCGACTGGCTGTCGTCACGCTTTCGCTTCTTGTCTGAGGTTACGTATCGTAGTATTGTGAGGATAATGAGGTACATCGATGATGCAAGGTATTAATGTACAGTTGTAAACACCTTTCACTCAAATTAACAAGATGTTCTCAGTAATTAATCCTCAATTAATCAGTGTCAACTCAGTTTATTGCCTATTACAGTGATTGACCGATTCGACTATCATGTTGGTACGATGTATTTACAGCAATCAAAACAAACAAAGCTTGTCAGTGTAGTTAATCTTCATTGTGTTGCAACTGCAGACAGAAACTGCTCAGTCCTAACTGATGATCATGTCCGGTCAAAATTTAAGAATGTCCGGACAATACTTTTTAAAATGTCCGGTAAGCAATATTTTAAAACGGACATTTGAGATTCCCAATCGGACATGTCCGGCGCATATGACGGTTTCCGGACCCCTGATTCTGTCCCATCTCCTGTCTTATGTTTGTGGAGACAAACTCTGATGTTTGCTTTTATATGTATATCTATAGCAGATTTTTCCTATTGAAAATTAACAACCACTTCCTTGATATTATATATTGCTTATGTCAACAGCAATCTTAACTATCTTGTCTTAGCCTTTGTAATCAGTTGCGCTACAGTTCTAAGGTGCTGCTGTTTTGTTATATGTACACAATATATATGGGTTGAGTCTCTTGTTTTGAGGATTGGCAAGACTGGCTACCTGAAAATCCAGACAGACAAACAGGAGGACGACAATGTTGAGGGCACATCTCAGGGGACATTCACAGTACTGGGACTTCACCCTGCCACTGCAGTCTTCTATGTGGGAGGGGCACCAACTGGAGTAATGGTAGGTGGTCTCGAATATGTGAAAAAGAGATAATCACTGTATGTTTGAAATTTTGATTTGAAGGATTTATTGCAACAGATAAACACAAGATTTTAACTTATCCTGCATTACTCCTTTCTTTTGACAAAAAAACGATGCTGTGTGATGTCCAGCTGTAGAAGATGGTCTTCCAAAGATTTGAGGCAGACCCTATCACACAGTGCCCACATGACCATGGGAATAGTGATGACATTACGTATATTCACATTACTGATAGTCACCAGACTGACAAGTTGGGTCCAATAAAATTGTCCAGCTCCTCTTAGTTCATCCTGTTTGATTGTTCATTCTGAATGAAATCTATGTTAATTATCTCCATCATCCAGTTGGTGTTTTCACATTCCACCATGTATTGTTATCCCCGTATATTGAAATGGGTTCCAGCGTGCGTGCGAAATTGTTTCATGAGCATAACTCAGAAACCGTGAAATAGTTCCTGATGAAACTTTGCATGTCTATCAGACTCATGCTGAACTGGTGCCTTTTGCTATTTACGAATTTTTGAAATTTTAGTTATTATTTTTGTTACCATGGCAACAAGTTGGACGGTGGGCGGTGTTCATTTCCGGAGCGTAACTCAAAAACTGTTAAATACCTTCTTACAAGACTTTCCATGTCTACCAGGCACATACTGAACTGGTGCCTTTTGCTACTGAGGAATTTTTATTTTTTATGTTTCCATGGCAACAAGTTGGATTTAAGTTTTAATATAGGTTAGGGTTAACTTACGGAGTATAACAAATTTAACTGTTAAACATTTCCTTGCCAAACATTGCATGTCTATATATAAAGCACATACTGAACTGGTGCCAATTGATATTAAGGAGTTTTAGAAATGTTTATTTTAGAATTTCCATTGCAGCTATTTTGACATGGGCTAAGAGAAATGTTGGGTTAGTTACCTGGTTTGGGACCATAACATGTTAAAATGGGCAGGGGATATAGATGACTTCGTCGAATATACGCTTGTTTCTTTTGCAATAATATTTTGCATGTGATGGTGACTTGTAGCCACAGTAATCCTCATGTACTTTGTTGTTCCAATCTGCCATTTTGAATATTAACATATCGTTAATATCGTACATAGTGTCACACACCTCCCCCTCCCCAATAGCTTATTATGTAATTATGTATATCACCTTACCTACTTACCTAAAACGTCTTCTTGGCTTCTAAAGTGTTTTTAACTTTTGTCTAGCTTACTTTTAATCCTGTAACCTCTGTAAATGTTGGGCCAACCGACTTGCTATGGAGTGGACAAGAATGACAAGATATGGTCACAGCCCACATCCATTCCTGCAGATCCTATGCTCAAGGATTTGAATAGTGTACTGGATGAAGATTTCACTCAGCTCTCCTTCACTCCAGCCTTCAAGGCGCCCAAGTTCAAGAGGGAGGACTTCCCGATCCATGCTTTCAAGGTGGCAGAGAGTGTTCACATCTTAGACTTGGATCTTCATCGGATGATGGGTCCTCGAAACATCGATACCTGTATGGCATATTCAATGGCCAGATATAGGACATCCAATCTTGGGATGCACAAGATGAAACAGCCGTCAAGGCACCATGGAGTACTTGGCTCAGCGCTCTTCTCAGACTGGTAACTACTGTGCTTGGTGCTCCTTCCTGAAAGACCATGCTCGGAACTAGTCATCTTTTCAAGGAAAGGGGCGTCGAAAAGGGAAGTCACAGTCCCCACTGTGGCAAGTTTCAAGGCAGTGGTGGGGACAGGAAGGGGAAAAGTGAACACCCGGACAACAACGACTGGGACCTCCCACCCCTAGTCTTCTAAGTTGTCGACACTCCTGGTGTCTGGTGACACTAGGTCTCCTCTGGCAGAATCTTAGAAGACTCATACGTCACAAACATCTTGCGCTACAGACAATTGTGACATATGGGTATCTCCTCTCCCTGTCATCGCCTCTGACTACAGCTCCCTCGTTTAACCCACAAAGCAACATCAACTTCTGGTGGCCAACATCGACACATTGTTGACCAAGAAAGCGATAGAAATTATGAGCACCCCAGGCATAACACCAATTTCTCCATCTTCAACAAGCAATACCTAGAGCGTCCCCCATACTTCTGAATGACAACCTTGAGAATACTCAGGACCAGGATTTCCTAGGTCTCTTTACTCTATGAATCAGACGTCAGGACCCATGGGTGTCCAATGCTCTACAGTCCAACTTCAAGCCTCATCCCACTTGATGGACAAGAGAGTCGAATGGCTTACATCACACCTGTTTGCAGGCGCCTTACCACAAGGTTTGGGTGCTGACCTGGAGGACGAGACGGCTTCAGGGCTGTGGTTCGACGTGCAGCGCACATAGCATATCAACAACCTGGAGCTGAAGGCACTCATTCAAGCAATATCCCACTGGTAGATTTGCCTCCAGAATGCTAAGCTAGCCATCTCAACCGACAACATCACGGTGGTTTGGTGTCTATGAAACCAGGGAACGACTCACTCCCACTCTCTGCTGCAGCAGACGTTCAGATTCTTTCACTTGATGGATCGTCTAGACCTGCAATTCTTGGTTCAACACATCCCATGGTGTCAGAACATCTTGCTCTTTCCCAGCGAGACAAGATGGCTTCCACAGCTTGATTAGGCAGCATCTTGAGCAACCAAACATTGACCTGTTTGCCACCAGCCAGAACTTCCATACAGCTCTCTGGTTCCGGATCCGCAGATGTGGGCTGTAAATGCTCTGTGTCCCTTGGAAAGGACGAAGAGCGTATGCTTTTCAGCCTCCTATACTTCTTCTCAAGGTTATACAGAAGATTGGACTTACTCTGATTTTGGATGCCCCTTGGTGACAGGTGAGTGGGTGGGTTGTGGACCTCAGAAACCTTGCCAAGAACAATCCCATGGGACAAACTGGATAGCCAAACCTCCGTCGTCAGGAAGATTTCATCTGTACGCTTGAACCATCTCAAAAGAGCTTACGGCAAGAGCAGCTAAAGCCATAGCCATGGCACATGGACCTTCTACGCGGAGACTCTATGAGGACACATGGCGCTCCTTTTAATCCTTTTGCATGGACAAACATCAGGACCCCATTTCAGCATCCCCTCATCCCCTTTTGATCCTGCTTTTTCTGTCAAAAGAAGCAGTAAATGTATTAAAGGGTAATGTAGGATAAGTAAACAAATGTAAAACATATTTAGATTTCACTGCTATGCATTTGTATTGCTTTGTTTCATTGATGAATGTTAAACTGAGAATAATGACTTAGTTTATCATGAAGTAAATTCCTCCATGTTTGCTGATGCCAGATAATTGTAATTATCGGAAACAGCATGAATATAAAAGTACAAGTTTTCTGTTATGAGCTCCTTGGAGGTATAATGTGAGTTCAGTGCATGAAGAAATTGCCACTTTTGTGTCTTGCAGCTCCCAAGTAGCATTAATGGAAGGAGGTACATTGGTGTCATGGAGGATCTCAAGTTTGATGAGCAGTCTCTTGGTCTCTGGAACTTCATTATGGCAGAGAACAACTATTATGGAGAGAATGAAAGGTATTTGGCAATTGTACATGCATTTACATAGTGTCAAGGTAGTTTGCTTTGCTCTGGATATTACTATCTGAGTACAGTGGTGTACATTGATTAGCTTGGAAGATTAACCTGCTGGATGCTTTGGGCATTTGCACATAATGAGGATGATCAACCTGTAGGATGCCTTTGGCACGAAAGGTCCTACATTACATCCAATGAAATATCATGGAATGTTGGGTGGCCTTAGCAGCACACTTCTGGTGACCTGTGAAGATCCGGGGTAGAATAGGTCTACAGCAACCCATGCTTGCCATAAAAGGCATCTATGCTTGTCGTAGGAGGGGACTAAAGGGATCGGGCTGTCAGGCTCGCCAATTGCGTGGATCGATGCTCATGATGTCAATCACTGGATTGTCTGGTCCTGACTTTATTATTTACTGACCGATGTGATATAGCTGGAGTATTGCCGAGAGTGGCGTTAAACAACAAACAAACAAGACACACTTCTGGTATTAATTCAAACTTCCAACTCCTAAACGTGGTTGGCAGCTGTAGCTGAAGTATTTGCTGAAACAAGACCCATCATGCTCATTGAGCAAACTATGAGGTTGTCCATTAAATAGCCTCACAAGAAAGATGTATCACATTTGACAGATGTAACTTAATTATCATACTTCTTTTTGCAGGCAAGTATCTGTATCTTAGGTCAACCATGAGTGAGCCTTCTTTAACATTGCTCTGCATATTTGTTTTTTCAGGGATGTGATGAAGAGTGTCAGCTCTAATGGTTTGCGGTTCAATGGCAAGGGGTATGTAATCCTCAGCAAGGCGGCGCTTGGACTTCGGCCAGACAAAACAATCGATGTCATTCTCAAATTCAAGACATATGCAGAGAATGGCCTCCTGGTGTACATGGCCGATGCCAAAAAGGACTTTCTTTCTCTGGAGCTCCGGGATGGCAAGATCTTCTTTCAGTTTGACCTTGGCAGCAACCGTGCTGTTCTTATGGCTGACAACAAGTTTAATGATGGGCAGTGGCACCAGCTACAAGCCAGTAGAGTCAACAATAAGGGACTGCTCAAGGTGGATGGAAAGACAGGTCAGATTTGTGTGAATGTCAAGTCACAAATATATGATTTTATTGTAACCAGCAGTGCCGTAGTTTGAGAAGAGTAACAAATCCTTTTTCTTGCACTTTCTGTTTTCAGTATGAATCAAAGCATTATGCTAATCATATAAGGCACAAAAAAAGAGAACTATTAATTTTCCCGGAAACACCTTATATCCATTGGCTGGATGACTTTGTTATTGGTGGTTTCATTATTTTAAATAGAGGAACCAGCACGTAAGAACTACCACTATATTGTTGTAGGACAACTTTGTAAAGGATTAACAGGGATTTAATAGAAATTCTACCATCGATATCGTAAATGCTCTAGTTTCATTGGTCAGTGGTTTCAAATCGCAGTAACCACCTATGACTGAAACATTCACTTTGACAGTCCCATCTTTGCAGAAGTTAAAATTTGTGGTTCTTTGTCAGCCATCTTCATTAGACATTATAAAATATATACTATTATAGGTTACAATATTCAAAGTATGTGTGGCATTATGTTTTGGACAAAAGACAAGATATAAATCAACGAAAAGAGTCTTATTTGAAGTTTTAGTTTTTCTTTGTTCAATCTGACAACCCGCTCAAAAGATTGAACTTAACCCATGCTGCTGCACTCACTATCTTGGCGAACACCAAGTTCGCTTTTAATTTAGTCATGGTAAAATGGAGATAGACATACCATGTTTTCTATGTAGAGCTAGGCTACATGTGGATGTAACAATGCTAAGTTCAACATTTCAAATGTCATTCAAAAATATGTTTATCTCCTAAGGCTAAAAGGAATAAGTCTTGGTTCTCAGGCACCGCCTGCATCATAAAGTTCGCCGCACGTTTTGTTTTCAATTCCATTTTTAAAAACAAACAAATACCAGTCAAATACTACATTCCAGGATTTTACTCATTAAGGAATACATTTATGTAGCGAGGCCGTTTCTCTGGTTGATTGTACACAACTGTTTATTTGGTCACACAACTGTTTACATCCTAGTTTGAACAACAACAAAAAAGACAAAAAAAGACACCCCCTGCCCACCCGCACTATATTTTCAATAACCATTGGCTGAGAACCAATTCTATCATTTGTTTAAGCCTAATTAAAAGATAAATGAGTTATTCAGACTTCTCATTAGGTTAAGATCTGATTGTTTGCAATTTATAAGGTGTCAGACAGCATGATTTTTAGAGTATGCTATGTTCTATCCACAGTTGACCAAGGGGATGCTCCAGGTACTCTCAAGCAGCTGTCCATATCTGATGACATATTCATAGGGGGCTACAACAAGATCCTTGTACCCACAAAGTGAGTGGCACTCCCTGCAGCTCACGACAACTTCCTGTTATGAATTATATGCTGATCAGGTCACAATGGTGACTTTTGGAGGGGAGTTAACCTCTGTGTCTTCTGCTTGTCCAAAGGGGGACAGATGGCCCAGTTATCTGAGGTGCCATAATTTGCTGTGCTGAATTGCGTCTCTCAGGCATCCCTGATTTGCCTTGATTATGTTACTTCTTTTGTCAGAGCCATATGTCATGATATAACTGTTTAATACAGTGTTATGCCCAAGTGGGTCACTGGGCTTGGCATAAGTCACGGAAAATGGCATTGGGGATAAGTATGATTAAACTTTCAAACAGAGACCACAATAGTGAGTGACAGTCCTTGACTTTTATTACAATGACAATATGTCACCTGATTACTCACATAGCATTTGATGTTCTTGGGCAAACATAACAATCAGTACTTAATGTTGATACACGAGATTATTAATTGAGCATATTTAGAGATATGACCTGTTTTAAATTGAAGTGAGTTGCAAGTGTTATGATATATTTCAGTGATGTATCCAGTATAGGCTTTGATGGGTGTATAAAGGACATCCAGTTTGGCACCCAGACCTGGGACTTGAATGACAACAAGAGAGCTATAGGAGTAGCCAGAGGCTGCCCAGAACAGGCAAGTACACAGACAGCTTGGGTCTTGAACCAAGGCTGTCAACTCGAGAGCACGTAAATGGTACTTTTGATAGTACTGAAGAATAGATTCAAGGTGTGACTCAGGGTAATCGGCTTCAGTAGTATCATGTGTGTAACTGCAGGTGTGGAATGCCATACAAACATCCCCCGTAAAGATCTGGGTCAGAATTAGTCTTCAGCAACCCATGCTTGTCGTAAGAGGCAACTAACAGGATCGAGTGACGTGGTTGATGCATGTCATCTTATTCCAATTGCTTGGATAAATAGTCATTATGTCAATCATTGGATTGTCTGGTCCAGACTCAATTATTTACAAAGTGACATTATATAGATGGAATATTGCTGAGTGTGGCATTAAACAACAAACCATGCAAGCCTAAGCGTGCCACCATGTACGGCCATTGACATTTCTGTGGCATATCTACCCATACTAACTATGTTTCAACAGACTACTTATGGTAATTCAGGGGTTTCGTTTTCTTTTAATGAACTTGGTCAGCAAGAGGAGAATGTAGATTGTGTTTATCATTATATGTGGCTTGTGTTTACCTGCAGATTGCCCGAGTGGCCTCCTTCACGGCTGACCGCCAGGGCTTTGTTGCTGTTTCCTCCGAGAGTATTGGGCAGATGTTTGACATTACATTCAAGATGAGAACATTTGAAAATGAAAGTCTTATACTTTACGCTGCTAGTTCCGACCAGGTGAGCTGTCACTCTGATAATCAACAGTTTATCACAAGTTCAGTATAATGTTTGATTAAACAAGTTCATCTTTGAATGTAGGGACATTTCAAAAACAGTATTAAAAAACACAATTGTCAAGAAAATTTGTTTTAGTGATTATTATTTTCTTTTTAAACCCAAAAAAAGAAACTGGTACTGTAACTTATTCTGAGAAACCACAATGCTCTTGGGAGCTGAATCTTTCCTGAATGATAATAAGACCACCAATTTTCTTGAGGTGTAGCATTTTCATTTTACTATGGCAGTTGTATATTCAAGGTAAAAAAAATAGAAAACAAATGTGAATTTTTACTTGGGTATTTCCTAGAATGACTTACGTTCAGAAGGTTGTCTATGGGTGGCCATTCGAATATCAAATAAAAAATTACAAAGTTGAAATGGCGTAAATTATGGTCATTATAGTCAAATGTTACGAATAAAGAACGAATATTGCAAATAAATGTAATTATTTACATACGAATAATGAACACAAAGAACAAGACAATACCAATGAACAACTCGCAAACAGTAGACATCATATGTAAAGAAAGAAGAATGTGTACTAAAGAACCACGGTGCACAAAAAGGACACCAAACTGCTAATGGACAAAGTTGACAATAAAGAATGCCAGATGGCACTGCAATTAGTAAAACATTCTGAATTCCACCCTGTATACGATAAATGCATGTTGAAGTGCTCAATCTATTATGTCAATTCTCATCACACACATACACATGTGTTCTGTTTCAGTCCAGTGCATTTGCTGTAGGCATCGTTCAGGGCAGAATTGTCGTGACAGCTGACCCAGGTGGGGAAATGACCACATTCAAGAGCAAAGTCAATGAATACAGCGATGGCAAGTGGCACTATGTCTCCATAATGAAGAGTGGACAAAAGTAAGTAGTGGTATACATACCACTGTATATTCAAATGTGCTACAGTGCTCCAGCAACAAGGGGAAGCTGCAGTTTCTTCCATTTTGGTCATATATTAATATCCCCAGCCTAATAGGGTCGGGGGAGTACAGTTATGCAAAGGAATTCCACCCTTCCGTCTGTGGGGCCTTCTGAGGATCTCTAACTTGAAAACTACTGCATAAATTCTTTACAAACTTGGTGAACACTTTCTATACCAATAGGAGACGCAGTGCAAACTTTGTTTTCAATGTTTGGATTTTCTGAATAATAAAGCTATGTTTTAGTCTGTTTTCAGTCGTACAAATGGGTATCTCATACCTCTAGTCGCACGTTAACAAGAAGCCAGAAGCTGGAATGTAAACAATAAACTTGTTTCCGTCCGGTTGCGCACGCACCTCCCTATGACATGTCACAAATCTCTCAGCGCGCATCTGAGCTGGTCGCTCGAAAAGGACTTTCGCGATAGACTGCTAGTTTGTATTCTACTAGTACTTATCGTGTGTCTACAGTTGTTGTTCTAATACAGTAGTAATAATATGTCTTACCTGTAGACTCCTGGAATGTAATCCATGGTAATCCATTGTTTGTGTTCAACACGTGTTTCACTGTTTGACTTGATTATACACGTGGCAACATGTCAGGCTTTTCTGCCTCATGTCAAAGTATACTGTCTAAAGTAGATCCTCACAACCATTGTCCTTCCTGCATAATTCAGGACGGATTTTCAACGTGTTCGTGGGATAAACGTTGTAAAGAATGTGATCACTTTAATAAACTTTAATTGGTATCTTCGTGCGTTGGCGAAGCAAGCTACTGACCAGCGCTACAAGCAGAGTAGGTCATCGGTTGGATCCCTGGACTCTGCAGCCTCTACATCTGGCCCTGGGGGTGGCGCGTTGGCCACACCCAAGAAATCAGTTGATAACGACCCGCCCCAGCCAACTTATGTTTTCGACAAGACACATGACCGTTCGCCTGCTGATGATACTACCCGCACGACTGATCTTCGTCAATCGGTTGATGGAGAGCATCACTCAGCCACCCCCGTTACGACGGGACCGGCTCATGACGAGGACCATGAGGGGCCTACGGTCCCCAGTCGGTCCGTCTCTCGTCCTACCAACGATGATAGGTCGACAGTGAACACGGATCCCACTCTACAAGTCGTTCCCGCCCCGGGACGACAGGTCGAGTGCCTCATCGAGAGACAGTAAACGACACGAGGACGTTCGTTGCCTTCGAGGTCGTCGGGAGTTCGATTCGGACGATAACTACGATGGGGATCGTAGTCCTTCTACAGTTAGAGAACGTAGCCCTCGTTCCCAAGGGGACGTGCTACGCTCTCGAAGGGAGTTTTTGGGAGATCAGCGTCGTAGAGATAATGATCAATCGTCACCCTCGTCTCACTTTCATATCGACCCGGCTTTGATAGGCCAGATCACGGCGGCGGTACTCGCCTTGACGGCGTCAACCAAGAAGGGTTCGACTACGTCGGAGGTCCATGGACCATCGTCCTGTACACCGGTTCCTTCATCTACGCCTACACAATCGGCGTCGACGATGGATTGTGACAACAGCGTCGTAGAGATAATGACCGATCGTCACCCTCGTCTCACTTTCATATCGACCCAGCTTTGATAGGCCAGATCACGGCGGCGGTACTCGCCTTGACGGCGTCGACCAAGAAGGATTCGACTACGTCGGAGGTCCATGGATCATCGACCAGTACACCAGTACCTTCATTTACGTCTACACAATCGACGTCGACGATGGATTGTGACGACAGCCTGGCTATGGCTTGGCTATCTCACTTTTTTGCCTGAGTTATCAAATGATAATGACAAACCGACGTGTGCTGGCTTTAAGGTCGGAGATACGCCGCAGTCTCTTCAGTATTCTCCTCCCGATGTCTTCAGAGCCTTGGCTCACGATATGGACCAGAACTTGCCTCTGCTCTGCCAGGGCAGAGTTTCAGCAAACCACCTGTTCGATCGCGTTACCCGATCTATGGCATGCCGTTTTCATCACCCATGAGTAGGGACTTGGATTGGGGGCTACTCTTCAAGAAACCAGCGCCCTCCAAGATTCTTGTAGTAGACAGGCATTGGGAATCCATGGACACTGCCTCGTCACCAGCTACAACCGCTTGCTATGCTGTCGACAGAGAGCCAGCGGGGGAGGTAGTGAGGTCCCTTCCCCTGCCGTCACTGTCTTCTGAGTCTACTACCTTTAGACAAGCTACCGGTAGGGGGAAGACTTCATCACACGGATCATGAAGACGGTCGTAGAATGGCTCCATCAGCAGGCGATCAGGGTCGCCTTCTACCTAGACGAGCCGTCTCCTACGGGCAACAGGCTCACTAAAATACCGGAATTGCAGAAAATTGTACGTGCCTTCATGGTTGACAATGAGTCACATTAATTCCGCCTGCCGGCCTGGGACCTCGATGTCGTTCTGCGCTACCTGTCTAGTAAGACTTACGAGCCTTTCAGAAAAGCCCAGTTCGTGCGCTTCGTATTTCCCTGCAGCGATCTGAACAGCGACAACAACATTTTCGACGGCTGTTCATACCGCTCTCAACCAATGCAAAGAAAGAGATTACACGTAATACTCTCTCCTTTTGGTTGAAAGCGGTCATTCTCAGAGCTTACAAGGCGCAAGGACTCGCACCTCCCACCTCCTCTCATCTGCACAAAGTTCGAGCCATAGCTTCAACATGAGCACACAGTTTGGTCCACTCGTAGTGGCACAACCGATCTCCCAGAAAAGACAGTGAATTTGTGCTTTATTCACTTTGAACTTTTTGCTCGATAACAGGTTACAATAAAAACTGTTGGTGAATGTACGCATTCTTATGGTTTTTGTTGCATGCAGTACTTCGGCTGTATTATTATGGTTATTCGGCATATGCATCGTCTTCCCATACTTCTATACTAATAGGAGAGTTGCAGTGCAAAGTTTGATTTTGATATGTGCATTTTCTGAAAAAGAATATGATTTTTTTCATGTTTTGAACTTAGAATGAATTTTTAATACCATGGAATTCCGTCTCTCTCTCTCTTTCATCCTTCTGTCCGTTCTTCTATCTGTTGATTTTCTGAAAAATAAATACTGTTTTTTTTATGTTGTGGACTTTTGGCCTGCAAACAATTGGGCAACTATTGAAAACTACTGCATGGATTGTTTTCACATTTGGGAAAACTTTCTACGTTATGAGAGGTGCAGTGCCAAAATATGTGTGATGTATATTATTGTGCTTTTTAAGAGAAACCAACTCAAATGTTAAGGCACCAATATATCTCGAATATCAAAAGTATTCTTCAGCTGTTCGGGGGTATAAGTGTTGATATGAACAAAACTTGTTCTGTTCAGATGCAAAACTTCTGGTCTGATTTTATGATGCTCACTTCGTGACAAACCCACAGACGATCCTTTAGTGATCTCTTGAGACAAGTTACCAAACTGTTGTATTTCAAGGACCCAGCATCTTCCCGAGGCACGGGAGTTAACTATAAAAGTCCAGTTTACACCCTTGCCAACTAGGCTGGAATTTCAGAGCTTGATCGTAGTGCCACCAGTGGCTATTACAAATTATGTCCCTTCTATGTCTCTCCTTTTGACCAATCAGATTCCACCTCTCATATCACTTGCAATTTCTTCAAGCAAAATGGCAGTGCCCAGTCAAGACGATTTGATCGATAATCAAGATCTATATTGTAATAAAACGTGTCTTACTTTGCGAAGAGCATCAAATCACGTGAGCACCTTGATTAAAAACATGAAAAGATTTGGAAAATATCAGACACAAAGTTGATGGTAAACATCCTTTGCAAATCGACCAAAATCTGCACATCATTTTATGAACCAGATGTCTATTTTGTTAGTCCACCCAAAATATAACTCAACAATTCCAGCTTAGTTCAGCAAGAGTTGAAATTGGACTTTTATTGTCAGTTAACTCCCTTGCCTCAGGAAGATGGGGACCCAGGTGACAGGTGGCTCAGTCATCTAAGCTGCCACCATTTGCTGTGTAGATTTGTGCCCCTTTAGCATGCCACAAATCTCTGATGTGTGTTTGCATCCAATATTTGCCCTGATTGTTTGTATTTTAAAACCAAGCTGTGCTTGTTGTAAATGCCTCAGACCTGCTTCAGACTTTCTTCCCACATCAAGGTGACACGCTGGGTTGTAACTGAAATACTGTACTGATGGTGCTAAACCTAACTCACTCACTCACTCACTCACTCACTCACTCACTCACTCACTCACTCTTCTATTTCAGATTAACCATGAACATTGATGACCTGGAGATGGTTGATGCACCTGCGGAGGGCGACACCGTGGACCTGCTGACAGAGACACCACTGTACTTTGGTGGTTTGCCCCCACAATACAACATCAAGCCGGGCATGGCACCAACCACTGTCAGGTTCATAGGATGCATAGGAGATGTCACAGTCAATAAGCGGTGAGCGAGCATGTGGAGTAGTACACCAGACACATGTGTGGGGAACATGGGTTTATTGAGAGTCTGAAGGGTTTCACATCATGTTCAGAATACAGCACAGCAGTTACAAAAATGGGATTTAGTGATTTAGTAATTTCAAACTGAGAATAACAAAACTTTGACCTTAAAGTTGGTCCGAGGGTGCTTATTGGAGTAGGGTGCTTACCGTATTTTCTTGAGTAAAGTGCACACTTTTAAAAAAAACCACAGCTGTGTAGAAGGGGGTGTGCATTATACACGCAATAATGAGTTTTGAAGTTTTTTCCCCCCAATGGAAAGACATAACCGTGAGCACATAACACCAGAAATACGTCAACAAATCCATACTGAAGTATGCAAATTAATCATGTAATTACAGTCTGGCTATAAAAAGTGTTCTTTGTATATCTGGACTTATGTTTGTAACATATTTCATACATTTTATTAAAAATTCCTTTTGACATTGTTTTAATTAATTTCGGCAAAATCGTGTGTTAAGAGATCGGAAGATCGCACAACTCACCGTTATATAACAGCAACCACGGTCAGATTACAGCTATTGACGCCTTGAAACGAACTTTAATTGACAGAGGATGGATACATCATAAATGCCATACTTTACCTCATTAAAAGTCATATTTGTTATAGTTTGACGATTCTGTGTCAACATGTAGTTCTCGTGATCATGTGCGCAGGAGCCTCGACGGTGACTGGTCAAACTGTTTCCATGTGAAAAATAATAACCGGCAATAGCAATCAGCTGTTTCGCTTTGGGTTATAATTATTTTAAATATATTTTATAAAGCTGCAACTAAAATTACAAAATATTGGAATATATTATTCCTGATTAAAAAAAAAAAGTTTCAGATACAATTTTTGCCGATCCTTGCATTAAAATCCTGTAGAGTTATATCATTGGATGTGTCTTGACCGAATCACCGGTAGATTCCAAGAAAACGTGTGTACAGCTGAATGCTGTTTCCAGCTTAGTTTACGAGAAAATACACAAGGTAATATTAATCCCTGGATGTAAAACAACTGTTAGCAGAACAAAAAATACAATTTAAACAGGAAATCAATATGTCTGGGGATTTTTTTTATCTCTAATTTCAAATTTATACCTACCAAGTTTCTCATCACCCGTTCATTTACCGGAATTCGCTGGAGGGGTACGGTGGAATTTATTTCTGCGCATAATATTCTAAAAAAAATTCGCAAAATACTGAATCCGCTAGAGGAGGGTGCGCATTATACTCAGATGCGCACTATACTCAAGAAAATATGGTAATACAGAGAATATGTTATTGTTTATAAAGTCAGTGAGAAACTATAACTACAACATATACAATGGAGAACAAATATAGATATTTTGTCAGTTTACACAAAGTGGTGTATTTGTTAGGAATGTTCTTTGTTGTATGGTCATAATGCAATATCCTTTTTTTTCTTGAATTTTGATACACATGAACATTTCAGGAGAGACACTCCTGTGAGGTAATATCAGATAACAGATAAGATTTCATTCAGTTAGCACACTTTGCTTCTATTCATTAATATTTTTCACGCTATTTAGATTATTATCTAAACAATGTATGCACATTCTAGATTATAGATTCAGCTTTTTTCGCAGCCTAACATCATATAAGTAATCATTTCAATTCTTTAATGGGCTTCACATAAAGATTTTACAATCATGCTTATGAAATCTCCCGTAGAATAATGAAACACAGCTTTAACATTTTGCTTTATTTTGATAATTTGAAAACAGGATATGGGATTTCATATACTTTTAAGCTTATCCTATCTCACACTATGCATTTCTCTTTCTTCTTCGATCTTAAGTGGAAAACGTGCTTCAACAAAGGTTTCAAGCTCCTAAAAAAAGCAATTCACCTGAACACACCTAGCATCCCCATGGTCACCCCCAACAATCTAGGTCACCCTCACTCCCTACGCTGATTGACCTACACATGCTGAACACATAATTTTTGTAGCCACCACATCCTGTTTCTTACAGAGACTCTTTGACATTTTTCTTGTGTATTTACATGTGGATTATTCAAGTTCTTCTCAGTGCTTTTCTCGCAATGACATCATGGACGAACAATCTGTGCATCTTACGGTGTCTAAATACATAATTGCCGCTGCAGGTAGCAGGATCAATGGCAAAATTTATGGGGAAAACAACAAAGTTGAAGAAGACTCCTTCCAAGGAGATGAGGAAGTCGGCAAAATCATCCATGACTTCGTTGAACGGGTCTACTTCACGCCCTCTGATACCTGTTATCTCGAATGATGACGAGGAAGATGATGTCTGGACTGTGACCACTGAACCACATTCTACGAACCTCCTCTTGTCTACCTTGGTGAACCCATCTTCAGATGCGGACGTCTGTAAGGCTCTCTCAGCTACTTCAGATTCCTCTAAACTTGTTGCAGCATCAGCCATGGGCGTTTTAGATTCGACAAACTCTTCAAAGGTTCGGAATGTCTCTCCATTGCCCTCCTCATCAGTTATTGACAACTCAAAGAGTCTGTCATGGGAAGGGATTCTCACGACTGTAGCCTCCGTGAATATCTCTACAGATGTTTTGTCTTTACCTTTTGACTACGTCATATACACCTCACTGTTCTCGTTCCGCCACTCATCATTAATCTCATGAGAGATCTTTTCCAGATCACGGGTCTCACGAACATTGGCAATCCCCTGGTTAGGTTCAATCTACGAAACAGCACTCAATGGGAAAGCTCCCGTCCACAGTCCGTGTATCTGATTCGTATCAGTGGAGCATTGGCGAACCTCACTGACTCTGCACCTAAGGTTCTTCAGACCTCCAGGGATCGGCGATTGTCTGCGGATTGGCAATCATCAAGGACTCACCCTTCGATTTAGGTTCAATGAACCTCAAAGAATAGACGAACATCTAAAAAGTGACTCACTTCACAAGATCAGCGTGACTCTAAACGTCTGAGACCTTGCATACGCTAATCTGACACAAGATTGGAATCGCTATCCTCAGTTCATGGGCAAGGGTATTCTTATGATCCTGCCTACCTGGACTACTTCCCTTGACCAAGCCTTAAACACAGAGACAACCCTAGCTGCTCAGCCACAGTTAGCCGATGTCCTTCGCCTAAGAACACACATGACACTTGCTTCCTTACGTCACTCGGGTTCTCCTCCTCAGGTTCGATGTACTCTGGTTACGACTGTACCAGAGCCCACAGCGACTTTACAGTGCTCCACATAGTCACTTCCTACTTCACGGAATCCTACCAATTCCTACTTCACGGAATCCTACCAATGTAGCTACACCATCTGGGATGCACATAAGCTCCAGCTCCAGCTCCAGAAGTGTACTTCTGCCTTCCTTTTTGTCCCTCCTTTCAACTTAGACAAGGATTTCGGTTTCTTTCCGTCTATTATGCAATCGATTACTGGTACAGTCTCCTCGTTTCATATCGAAGGAGATGGGTTCTCATGGCATTTCCACTTCAGCCCCTGAATTTGACGGAGACATCGCCACTTTGGCACCGAAGCGTTCTTTCTCCTTCTCTTCAGTAGTTGACAGAGATTTAGTTCATCTGGGTCTGGATTCGTCATATGTTGCCCCTAGTTTCTACCATTCTTTCGACGATAGAGGATCTCCACATGGTATTGGATCATGCATCCTCTCCAGAAGAAGCCTGCATTCGTGGTGCGATTGACTTGATCCAAGTCAAGATGACGGGCATTCTGGATCTTTTGGTCCACCATGCAGCATCCATCACCACTTTGCGACGACGGGGAGTTCTCCAACATTGTTCCTGGTACCCACCGTTCAAGAACTGACTTTACCAATTACCCTGGTCTTCCCACTCTTTACTCGCTGGATGTATCCAAGAGATGGCTCAAGATGTCCAGAGGGACACTTCTCTTCAGGTGACGGTCGATTTACTGCACTTAGAGGAATCGGCTAGAGGAACAACAACAGGACTGTAAGCAACCTTCTTTCATGCTCATCCAACTGGATCTTTGGGAAGTGCTCAGTTTGAGATCCAGCTCATTTCGTGGCCAGAGAAGAGGCCATCAAGGACAAGGTGTCGGTAAAATAGGTGGACGTTCCGTTTCCAATCTCCTGTCAAACATCTTCCCATCCTCACAGAAGACATAGAAATGTTACAAACCAAAAATTAAATAGAATGCCTGGGCATGGCTCGACCACTACAAGTTTCTATTCTCCGATATTTCTGGTTCAGAAAAAGGACAGTTTTTCTCTCTGCCTTATTTTCAACATGAAACTGTTTAACTAGTCATACCTCTTCACTTCCAGATGTCTATCATGCTGTTACGCATGTTTGCTCTATCCCGGTGATTTCATTATCAGTTTAGATCTACAGGACACATATTTACATATGGGAGCACCAACATTTCCTTTGATTGCTTTTCCTTGGCCACCGTTACCAATGGAAGATGCTCCCAGTTTGAATTTCTTCGGCATCGTGGCTATTTACCCGTCTCACCAGGCCCATCGTCAAAATCCTACACTCTCGTAGCATCATCTTCGAATCGTACATAGAGGATCAAAGAAGAAAGAATAATGCATATAGTGGGAGGTAGGATAAGGATATAAATATACAATTTATTGTAAAATTTACAAGTTCACATATTCTTGGCAGATGTTTCACATTTTAGATCTTGATAATCTTTTTGTTTCTAGTACACATCCTGAAGATTAGGCCAATGTGTTTCGTGTTATTTGCCACTTGATTTGTATTTTAGAGTATTATGGCTCTCCTGAACAACATGCTGATATAAGTTATGTCAAAGAGAACACTGATGTAAGATAAATATGATACTATAAGTATGAGGGTATATGCTTCTACCTTCTCTTGAAACACATCCAGCTGAACCATGGCTTAAACAAATACAGGCGAGTCTGATTTTGAGAGGCCAGTTTTGCTTTCATTGTCAACAGTCACATACAAATCATTGGTATCTGCATTATGTGTTTCTCTCTGCAGGTTTGTGAACTTCGCCAGTATACAGGAGAGTGACCGTTCTGGTGCCAATTTGGCTGGATGTCCCGTGAGTGGTGAGCTGGGTGTGGACATTCAACTTAAGCCAACACCTCAGACCAAGCCAGACATCGAGGAGGAGAGTGAGTCTTTGGGGTCAAACTAAAGTGTTCTGTTCATACTTGCTGAATTACTATGGCTGTTATAGGATCAAATTATATGTTCTAGTTATGTTGTTGAAATGTCATGGTTTCACTTGATCTATCCTGAACATATTTAGGATTAAAGTAGAATGTACTGTGGATTTTATTACTTTTCCTACTCGATATTGTGCCTCCTTTCAGCTGTGACCGAGACACCCGATGTGGCAGTGCCAGGTCAGTGTGCTCTCCCTGACCGCCCCGACATGATGGCAGAGGGTGTGATTGATGGAACCAGATTTGGGTCGACCGCTGATAGTCGACAGGAGTACAAGAAACTGCCATCAAGGTTCAGGATTAGGTCAGTTGTTTTCAAATGACACTCTCATGCAACAACATTGATATTGTTTAAAATTTCTTGTAAATTTGTTGAGTTGACTTTAAGTCAAATTTTACTGGCTATTACATATATTTAATTGTATTGTTTCCAGGTCACTGTTTGAATGCCAGTTTAAGACTACAGCAGAGGATGGCATCATCATGTACATGGCTGACAGCCGCCACATTGATCACATTGCTTTGTTCATGAAGGGAGGCCAAGTGGTGTACTCCTTCAATTGTGGCAGCGGGGCTGCCGTGGTAACAAGCCCCCAAAAATATAACGATGGAGAGTGGCATAAAGTAAGTCTACACTAACCAGTCATTTCTGATGTATTTAGTTTTATTTAAGATTTTATAGAATTAAGAATAATGAAAAGGTCTGTCACAAGTGATGAAAAGTATTTTCTTGACTGCACAGTGTTTTAGCTAGTTTCTGATGGATTGTTTTCTCCTCCAGGTGAGTTTCTCCAGGGCCCAAACACTTGGTACTTTGGAGATTAATAAAGAGAGAGTAGGTAATGGACGGTCCATTGGGCGTACCAGATCCATCAATGTACGGACACCTTACTTTGTTGGTGGCATTCCCATGGACCTGAAGAAGAAAGCTGCCAATAATCTAAAGGTAGGAAATCTGGAAGATGGTGTTCAATCTGTGGTAGATTATCATGCTTCTTTTGTCAGTCCAAAATTGCCTTTCATAAAAATGAGTTATTGTGCGTTCACTTTTGGTTATTAAACAATCTTAAACACACATGAAAAGTGAACATTATATACTCTTAAAAGAAATGTAAAGCCAGATTTGTGTGATGTAGAAAAATACATTTATATGAGGAACCGTACACGGTATTGAGCCAAAATGTTGTGAAGAGAACGCTTGGTGATTGTAGTCATCACAGTTATCGGTACATTGGAAAAGTCCAAGGTGAAGGTCAGCTACCATCAATAATGCGTATGTCCCCCGGTCTGACATCTCCTGCCGATGGAAGAGACGAGTATGCGAATCACATCCTGGGGAATGGTAGCCCACTCGGCCTGCAACGCAAAAGGTTGGAGGTTGTGGTTGACATCGACATAGCTGTCTGTCCAATTCATCCCACAGGTGCGCTATTGGTTTCAAATCCGGGGATCTGGAGGGCCAGGGGAGAACATCAACATTGTTGTTGTGTAGACAGGTCTCTTGTGATCTGTGCTGTATGCGGTTGAGCATTGTCCTTTGTCCTGCTGGAATACACAGTTGCGTGGGTTGGTTATTCTTGGTCGTCCTGACCTTGGCCGCTCACATGTTGACCCATGCTGTTTGAAACCGATCCCATAGCATTGTGATAGTACTGGGCGCTACATTGAAAACCCTGGCTACATCTGATCGGGATTCCCCTGCCAGCAAGCGGCCTATGACATTGTTTCTTTGCACTTCTGTTAATCTTGGCATGTTGTTGAACTGTCACTGTTCGATTGACACAGATGACAGGCAATCAAAAACCCTGTACTTTAATACCCTTCATAGTGGCCCATTTTGTTAATGCACAAGGTGCATTTTTCCAAATCGTACATGTTTCCTGACTTATGGTTTGCTTGTCCTTCTTGTGATCATTTTTATCCGGGAAATTTGTCACTGACACTATAACACATTAAACCTCTTCATTTTGCACCTCTTGGTCCGCTAATTTTGCTTTTATGGCCAAAAATATCTGTATAACGTTTCTTTTTTTGAAGAGTATAAAACAAAGCAGTATCCCTCGGGGTACATGTGGTTTCATGCCACTTGCATAAAATCACATATACCCCTCGTGATACTGCTACAATGAAATAATCTTACCAATATGTTTTAATCTGACATTGTAAAAGAATTAATATTGATAGAAAACACCTTGTTCGATTAAGCTGATGTTAACTTGTCCTATGTCACATGACTATCAATGACTCTGAAAAAACATGCAGCCTTTTACTTTGAAGCAGGGTACAAGGAATTTATTCTCCTGCTCATAAATCCATGTGCACCCTGTCTTCTTGGCTGTGTATAATGGATTTATTCTCCCGCTCAGAAACTTATTTCCCTCCCAGGCAGGATTCATAGTATTTATCAAGATCATGTGAACCAATCAGATCTCATCACCCTGACATGGAGATATGATAATGATATTTGTAGGACGTCTCTGGCAGTTTCATTGGTTGCCTGAAGAACTTCAAGCTAAACGATAAGATGTTTGGTGCACCATCAGAGCAGACTGCTATCAAGCCTTGCTCAAATGCGATGGAGGCGGGCTCCTTCTTCACAGCTGATGGAGGATATGTCAAATTATGTGAGTTTACACAGTAATGAACAACTGGATCATCCTGGCACCAAGAAAAGATATCATGATTATGTGCTTCTATATGTGAATAATTTATACTGCCAACAATAGCCGAACCTCTCAACACAATAGACATGCATTTTCTTTTCTTGATTTGAGGTAAATAATCTGTGTGCTTATTGTAGGACCATCTATGATTGTCTTATTGTGAGGCCACTCCTGGCTATGGTCACCCTGTGTATGCCACTCATAGGCTACTGTTAAATCAAATGAGTTCTGGAAATTGTTGCCATATTAGGCTTGAAAAACATTGGTTCTCAGGCAATGATGCGGCGGCGCCTGAGAACTAAGACCTTTTTTTAGTCTTAGTACTGATAGCGCAAGTGATAATCATGTTGTTTATCATGTACATCTCATTGGCACCTCAAAATAGGAATACAGGACGTTTTCCGAATAAAGTGTTCTCAAATGGTGATTGAACTAATTGTTTCAGATGATAAGTTCAAGGTTGGCCTTGACCTCCTGATACGTGTAGAAATCAAACCTAGGTCAGTAACTGGTTTGATTCTGGCAGTCCATGGCAGAGGAGACTACTTAGTATTGCAGATGGTGGATGGCAAGGTAAGCAAACTATTGTCACTGGATATGTATGTGCCAGGTCACAACATTTCTAATCACATACTCTAATGACGATATAATTTAGTTCATTGGGTACCAAATGTTTTTCAAACTTACCAGGTGTTTTATAAGAGCTTTCTTGGGTATATGAATTCTGAATGTCTCTTGTTATGGCAATTATAATGATCTTCTTAAGGTTCCTGACCAGATGGCTAGTCATGATATGTGACATTCATAATGATCCGTATCTGGTAGCAATTTAAATGCTTTTATACCCTGACATTTCCCCCCCAATCCTGTTCACTTCTTGTGAATAAAAAATGTTTAAATAAATAAAACAAAACATAATGGATTTCTGTTTGCACCATTAAGCTTTGGTCACCTGCTTCACTTCATTGTTCCCAAGGAACTGTAACACCCATTTGCTTACCTGCTTTCTTGATGGTATGTATGTTCAACAATTCAACAGAGATGGGTATTGATCAACTGAATTTGTTTCCAGATCGTCTTGAGAGCTGACAATGGCATGGGAGCCATCACAACTAGTTTCACACCTTCCACGTCCATTTCTCTCTGTGATGGCAAGTGGCATGTCATCAAAGGTAAGACAATGCTTCCAGACAACAACGTCCACCCACTGTTTGTCAACAGTAATTTGGAACATACTTTGTTGGTGTGGTAATGGTTGCTTTTAATGTAGAAATATTATTGATAGTGTACATGTCTGTGTAACTAGAAGTTTGCTCATAATACAAGTTTTTGTGTACAGAAGACTTGAAGTTGCATAAAATCCCCACTGCAATGTTCCTGCATGTAGATGAGCCTGCGTTGTTTGTGCTTCAGCTATAAAGGCCAAAGAGGTAGTGAAGCTGGAGGTCGATGGTGTCACTGCCCCCATCGGACAGGGCAAACCTGGAGTGTCCGCAGCGGACACTAATGATCCACTCTTCATTGGTGGCGCACCAGGTGAGAAAAATTACCTCCCTTTGTTCAGTTTCCCTTAAAACTAGGCAAATAAGGAAAATGAACTAAACATTTCTTTTAAAGAAATACATTTGTGAACACATTAATGCTAGTTTCTTATATTGTTTGCATAATCATGGTGACTTTGAATTTTTTCAAATTCGTAAAAAGTAATAAACTGTATGATCATGTAGATGGTATGAAGAAGAAAAAAAGAGAAGCTGAAACTTTAGTGTCTCCATTTTGTCTTCCCCAGACTACTCTGCCAAGGGTATTGATGCCAAGACCAGCTTTGTGGGCTGTATACGGAATGTGCAGCTTGACGGGAAAATGCAATACATTGGCTCTGGAAGTGCCATTGGCAGTGTCAAGATGGATTCCTGCCCAGTCAACTAAAGCTCAGCATAATATATCAGTTGCCATGGTTACATACATACATAAATTATGATGTTTAATCTCCTGATGAATTGTACATCAGTGTATGCTGGGTGTCATATATGTGCCAATATGTTTGTTTGTCTATGTTTTGTTTTCATGTGTTTTCAAATATGTTAATGTTGAAGTTGCGATTTGTTCATGCCCAATATGGGGGGGTGTCCCTCAACTCTGATATTACTGAAACCTAACAAGCATTATGGGGTATACAAGAGCATGAACTGAGTCAGACTATGACATAAGGACAACATTGCTGGAACTTTTGTTTTGTGTTGTGTTATGTTGTTTGATATGATGCAGATTTGCACTTGTGCAAACAACTGATTGATCCGATATATTTTAAACAAGGGTCAATTACAGTGACATTTGATCAAATGTTGATGAATGTTGGGAGGAGAATGTTACTTTTAATTATTCAAATACATTTTACTGTGAACATGTTGCAAGCATTTCATCCTAAGTCACTGATTTTCTATCAAGGAGAAATATTAGAAACATTTTACCTTCCCATTCAGTGACATTTATTAACTCAGCATCATACACATGATTTATGTTTGTCAACATACATTAAGTATCAAAAGAAACTTAGCATATGCAGTTTCCCTTTGTTCCTAGCATATATACATCACTTGGCAGTAAAAGAAACTGTTCATATGATAGAATCATAATACAGTTTCTTTCAGTGCCTTGTGTACATGTATCAGCTACCATCAGAAGGAACTAATCAGGAGGTCTTAGAAAACTGATCATAGATCAAAACTTACATGCAGTGTTGTAAACAATAATGCCACCAAAGATTGGAATCTGAATTGTAACCATGGCAACCTGAAAATGCCCTGATGATGATTTCAAACCCTCCCCTCCCATCCCTGATCAATATTTTGATGTAGGAGAGAGATGTGACTGGTTCCTGTTACTACAAAAAAAAAAAAATCAGTGCTGTGATTCGTCCAACAAATGAATATTTTAGATTTTATTTTGGGGTATGTGTTTTAAAGGATGTTCTCATTTCATTCAGGGAAGTTTTTCTAAGTCATTTCCCACATCAAAATATTTATGTAGTTTTAGTGTCCAGTATCTGACATCTTGCAGATATTTCTTGTAGCATATCAGGATATACACTGCTGTAAAAAAAAAATTAATATTAAGAATTATATTTGAATTAAATCTTCCTCATTGTTAAGGTTTTTGGCATGTAAACTAATTATAATTTCTGTTCAGGAAATCTTTGGGTATAAATGTGTTTATTGATGGATATATTTACAGCTTATATCCTGATATGCTGAGAATGAGTTTTACTGTTATGACTAACACGTTTTTATGCACTTTTTAATACATTTACAATATCATTTTTTTGTTTTCATGAAGGTTTAAATGGTTTTAATTACTTTTGATAAGCCGCTTATATCGATGCAATGTCTACTTGCTCAATAAACTGTTACTCATACTCCCATGTGTGGATGTTCTTTACACAGGCAAATTCAAATCATTTGGCGCTATAAGATAATTGAGGCGGTTCACTCTATCATTGTTTTCATATCATTGTATTTCAAGCACTGAAATAATGTCTTAACATTTATTATTTTATGAATAACATGATTTGATAAAAAGAATTATACCCTTGTGTGTTCCTGCATTGTAAACATATGTCAGGAATACAAAATATGTATACACGCCATGGGTTCGCATAATACAATTTTATTCCTAATATATGATATTTACAATATGGAAACACACTCTGCTTATAATCGCTGTTAATTAGAAGTTGATAGAGTATATCAAGATTGCAATATGATAAATGAAAACGCAGGATTATCTCGGTGTTAGTTTGGAGCAAGCTCACGAGCAGCAAGCCAATTTCCACCAACCATTTACTGTTCCTTTAGTCATGTGTGAGCATTTATGTCAATTTGTACAAATCAAAAGAAATCCACAATTTATTTTATTTGTCAATTCACCTGTTACACTGTAGCATTCAAGAGGCCAGTAATTTAGGGGACTCAGATGGTGAATTATCTTTGACATGTCAGATATTTATGTATGTAGTCACCCACTCCTGTTGGCATCAATGGATGCTCAAGTATGGTTCATCTCAATGTTTTTCAAATTTGCAAATTTTATGAATAAATGTTATGTCAGTTTGAGATGAAAATTGTTTCGTTTCATATTTGTTTTAGCTGATTCTGCAAATTTTAACAATGTCCATTTGATGCCACAGGTAATTCCCCTGTTTTCATGTTATGGTACATTTAGTTAGTAATCCACAAGAATTTGGTGCTACATTTTCTGAGTGTGCTTCATTCTATTATATGTTTTAATACTTTTATGTGGCTCATTTTTATAACATTTCAACTGGCCGACATTCTGTGATTGAACTTACCAGCGGCACATACAATGCATGTCACTAACTGGATGTACTAAGATGTCAAAACAGAAATAAAATTTTAGAAAAAAATATTGTGTATTTGTTTGTGGATGTGTAAATCAGTGGAGTATTCTTATGGAGAGAGTTCAAAATAACTTCAACATGTAACTCGTTTAGACAGCATCTCACAAAGCATGATGCCACACACAGATTTCTTGCTAACAGTGTAGCCAAAATATTTCTAGTCTCCACAGTTAATTTTTGCCATAAACTGACTGATGTAACCAAAAATATTCATGTAGAAACATGCCTTGTCCAGTGATACAGGTCTCTGTATCGGAGAAAAAACGCTTACGAGGTTTTGGTAGACAGAGCATGCCCTGGGGAGAGGGAAAAACCGCGTTTTTTCCTGACCCCCAGGGCATGCTCTGTCTACCAAAACTGAGGGAAAGTGTTTTTCCATACTTATAAACCGAAAAAAGAAACTTAAAACAACATTTATCAACATTTTTATGTTTCGAACATACTTTCCATGAACCTTAGGAAACACTTGTAAAATATCTGTTGCTGGCGTACGAATCTTGAAAAGCACATTCTAAAATCCAGTGAGGCTTATCAACACCTCTGTAGCCTTGTGGTAGACTCACTGGGCTACAGATATGAAGGTTGCGAGTTCGATCCTCGGGAATATAAAGAAAACATTTGTCATTTGATTTTACATTTCATTACATGTTACAATCTGAACGGAAGTTATATTAATAAAATACCCAGGACATTATATAAAATCCCAGGGACATGACAACGTCCCTGTTTATGAAATTTAACCCGACTGGAAAGTAAAACCTCACAATAGGTGTTAAAGCCTATAGAAAGAAGTCTCTTACTTAATAGCGATCCCAATGAATAGGTTTATAAACTTGGTGCAAAACCCTGTCATGGGTGTGATTTTGGGCTCTAGCATTACAGTAAAGGCTGGGCAGAAGGAAAAATGGTTACTTCAGTATGTGCCTGATAGATTTGCCAAGTTTCGATCAAATACACTGAATGGTTTTCGAATTCTGCCCCGCATTATATGCCGGGGGGATAATAAAGAGCCATGTTTTGAGCATATGTAACTTGAGTGACAGGAGACCATACTCAATATGGCATCAATTTTATTATTTTCAGTTAATTTTTAACTTTTTTTTGTCCTCTTCCTCACTCACTCTCTCACACACACAAAGAGTTACTCAAAAAGGGTTGATTGGGGGATATGGCTGGCAAACCAGAGTACTGAGATCATGGGTTTCACCAGGGTGGTAAACGCCTAGGACCTGCATCACTTCTTGCTTTCCTCACACACCCTGATGTGTATTGTTTGAATACGTGTTAAACCACACACACTCGCTCACTTCATGCTGGCTGTTTTACATGCTCTCAGACCTTTCTAAATGAAGTTATACTGGTCATTCAGTCACGGAGGAAACAAAGTATTATTGAAAACAAAGTAAATGAAAGTAGAATTTTGCATTTATTTATATACATTCCTCAACAAACATCTTCATATCTGCAACACATTTAAATTTAAAAAGAATTCTATTTTGCTTCTAGAGACCTCCCAAAATCAATGTCTTTAGTAAAACACGGTCGGAAAGTGATCAAGTAAAATTAAACTATGGTGATAGACATTCCTAAAAGGTTGTGCTGACTCACTGAGTCACGTAAATATGCAAGATTTTCATCTTCATCAATTTAAACATTTCAGACATTTCATGACTATAACATTTATCCTATGCAAACTTGCACCAGATGACCCAAATACACCTATGTAATATAAACAGATAATTCAATACAACCCCTTGGTGAGGAGAGTATATCTCTACATGATAGAGCTGTAGTGTTGACTTAGACAAACAAGAGGTTTTGTGTAAATATGTTTCATATATACATTAGCACACACATGTGATGCTGACACTACTCCAGCTGTACTGTACTTGGAATGGTGTTGGTAGGTTTGTACACTTGTCTCTTGTAGTGGGTGTTGCTGTAGATTCCGCTCTCATCTTGCCATGTGTTGCGTCCAAGACGCCGGTAGTCGACCTTGTCTGTAAACTGGGAGTTGCACTTTCTGTATGCTGGAGATAGATCTTCAAAATCTGGAGGCCTCTCCTGTTAAAGTATATTGAGGTGATGCAGTTGAAGAATATAATTGAAGAGACAATGGTTTCAACATGGTATGACTTCCCCATAAGGTGTTCAGGTTCCCGTTCCACAACCAATCTAAGCGCTACAATTATGAAAAAGTCTTTGTTAGATAATTGAAGTTGCCATAGTCATAACTTGAGCTGTAAAAGTGTACTTCATTGGGATACAATACATATCTCAATACCTGAAAACATGATATATTACATGTGTTTAGGAAACGTTTCTATCAAAAATGGAAGTGAATAGTAGTAGCTCAACTAAAAACCTATTTAGCAGATTTGAATCAACAAAACACTGGCTTGAGACCTCAGGTATACACAAGCAGAAAATAGTATTTTTACACCATTACATACACTTGTATTTAATTTTTTATCGATAGATGATCTAATTGCCATAATAGTTAACACTAATATCACTTGGTCCTATGATTTATAAAAACACAATTTGGCAGAATCCAAATTCAGCATCATACTCAATTTTGCCCCCATTAAATGACTTAATCATTACAAAATATGTTTCTTCTAAATTATAATCATATGATGACAAATATGGGACAAATAGAACCCAGGATCCTGGCACAGCCAAGGAACAATAATCCTGCACTTTTAGTTAACTGGGCTCCAGTGCCGCCATGGTAAATTTTGATGTATCTGGAATAATTGCATTCACATACCGGTGCAGGTTCATAAGGAAATGGTGCTCCGAAATCTGCCTTGTGTGTGGTTTCCATGTACATCTTCTTGTGTTCTGGGTCATGAAGAGGAAGGACAGAACCAAATCCTTCCTTCGGTGTGCCAGTGTCCCTAGACATGCAACAAATGAGCATTCAGAAATAATTAACTGATGGTTATCGTGAAGTGTGCTCTTCAGGCATTAGAGTGAGTGAAGTGGAGGCAGTGCCACTTTAAACAGTACTTCAGCTTTATCATCTTGTCTTAATGTCATCTTCCCAAGGCAAGTTAGTTAACTGACTATAAAAGAATTTCCAGGCTCGATCGTAGTGCCACCAGTAGCTGTTACGTTTAATATCCCTCCTATTGACAAAACAGATCTGTGAAGATCCGGGTTAGAATTGGTCTTCACCAACCCATGCTTGTCAAAAGGTGTGACTAATGGGATCGGGTGGTAAGGCTCGTTGACTTTGTTGATGCATGTCATCATACCTCAATTGTGTGGATCGCTGCTCATGTTATCAATCACTGGATTGTCTGGTCCAGACTCAATTATTTACAGACCACCTTCATATAACTGGAATATTGCTGAGTGCGACATTAAAGAAACAACCAAGACAAACCAAACAGATTCCATCACTCATATCACTTGTATTTGCTTAAAACACAATGGAGCGCCTAGTGAAAACAATCTGACTGATAATCAAGATCTATACGATTACAAACCCAAGAGTAAAGGTTTGATGCTGAACCTGAGGATCACAAACGGGGCAAAAAAATCTCATCCTTAATTATCCAGTGTTTACTATCTCCATTCTAATATGACATATACCCATCTATACATAACTTCTATTCTATACCCCAAAAGACGTTAAAAGATAGTACTTGTTGTTACCCTGTCTGGCGCTCAGCATTAAGGGGCTAAAACAAGGACTGGTCGGCTCGGAGTCAGTATACTGTGTCTGAGTGGGGTATTCATGTTAAACTGCGGCACGGTATCTCAGTGAGCTAGCACTTTAAATCGGCATCAGTCCGAACTAGTACAAGCAGCCAGACAAACACGTACATGCACGTCGCTATATAAGTGCAATAATCTTGGATGCGATGTTAAACCCCATGTCACCTCACCTCTATTCTATACTAACCACCAAAAGAAACGCAAACCATAGTAACGTATAGAGTAGTATGTACGGTAAGAAGAGATTAATGAGAACACTAACAATCCGTCAAGTGTTACCACAGAGTGATTTTATTCTTAGCACGATATGCTGCATATGATTCCAAACTTTACACACTAATCTTACACGAGCCTAATGGTGCATCTCCAGTCATGGATGACGTTACATGTGATGCATTCATAAGCATTGGTTCACACAACATACCGGTCTGTACGTTTCTATGAGGAACCAATCTAAAAACTCTTGAATATGAGTAAGTCTTCATATATTAACCAACATATATGATATTCGCGATACTTTTGGCAGTGAGTGTACATGGTATATGCCAGCCAAGACCTGCGTCAGTTCAAGCTCTCCTCCCACATTAAGCTGACATGCTGTGATATAACTCGAATTCTGTTCAAAGTGGTGTTAAACCCTAACTCACTCAGACTACCTCACAAAGTTTGTTTGTTGTTTTACACCGCACTCAGCAATATTCCAGCCACATGCAAATAATTGAGTCTAGACTAGGCAGTCCAGTGATGGACATCATGAGAATCAATCAACGCAATTGGGATGCGATGACATGCATCAACCAAGACAGTGAGCCTGACCACCTGATCCCGTTAGTTGCCTCTTTGAACAAGCATAGTCGTCTTTTATGGCAAGCATGGGTTGCTGAAGACCTATTCTGACCGGATCTTCATGGGTCCCTTACAAAGTACATACATGTAGCTTCATCATCTTGTCTAATTACCTGTCAATGTGAGCGTGTTCTAGTGTCTCCATTGTTATCATTGGTTTGCGGGTTTCCCTCTCTTCAAAGTTCTTCCTCAGGTTAATCTGTTGTGCATGGTCCTGGTAAGTTGTCATAGGCAGGGACTGAAAAATCAAGCATAGATCTAGAAATCATTACACGACGGGTACATGCCGGTATGCATGAAAACTGGCTGGTGAGTATTGTTTTACACTGCTTTTAACAATATTTCATCAACATCTTGACACAAGGAACAGGCTTTAAACATTTTACCAATTTGGGGAATTGAACCTGTGTCTTAAGCATGACTATGACAAGCCTATTTTCTTACCACCTAGAGTGCATGAGGGGCCCAGTCATCGAAGGTGCTACAATTCAAAGTGCAGACTTGCATCCCTTGGGCATGCCAGATATGTATTATCTAGGGTTTGAATCATGGTCGCCCTGATAATGTTTCTAGGTTTGTCAACACCATACCCATGCTCGTGGGTTTCACCAATGTGGGTTTCATCAATTAGGGCTTTCCCCCACATAAATGACACACAATGATAAAACTGCAAATCCGCATTAAACCCTACTCACTCACTGTTCCACTAGACTTCCCCACTATAAGCCTCCTAAAGTAGTATTTTCACGTTCTTATGTCAGTTAAGTACAAACATTAATGCTTAACTGGAATCACTTCAGTCAACAGGTAATGTCCACAGATGCCGTGAACAGGTTTAAATAAGATGAATTATAAAAAAATATAAACATGTGAATTAAATTTACCAAGTTTTCATTTCAAAGGTCTCATAATACTGTTTTTTGTTTGTTAGTTGATTACATGTTTTACGCTGCTAGATCACATCATCCTGTTAAAATGGTGTAATGAGCATCATCCCCGGCTGTTTGGGCATGTTGAGATGAAGTAAACCAATCCTGTCAACCCTAAACAAATTAAGTGATGTCTAACCACAAACAAAAGACTATCTGTGGTTTAATGACTTACCCCATCTGTTACGTCTCCGATCCTCCTGTATGTGGCTTTACACAAGTCTCTCTCAGGATTTTTGCTGATGTCATAGTCTTTGGGTTCAGCTTCCCTGGCTTGATGCCTGTCAAGATAAAAAAGAGTCATCGGCCACACATAAGGTTTGTAAGCTTTGGAGGATGAGTAAAAACACAAGGTATTTACATAGAGCGAAACACCCAGCTCCTATTGAAGCCCATCTGTGGAAAGAAACACAACTTATTGGCTCGGCAAGAGACCATTTATGTTGTATATTTCCATTTACCAACACAGGTATGTATACACTATAAAGCCTAAGCCTAAGTTGATCAGCGGCAGGAAACTACAGGCAGTGCATTGTCCACTCACCAGGAACAATTCTACTTGTATGAAAAATATACCCTTTGGACATACATCTTTTTATATTATTGATAAATCTTTGTTTTGGTGAATCTGTTAGCACTGACAATAGCTCTTGGCTACACTAATGACCGTTTGGAAAATTTAGTTGTTTTCCAAGTTAACTTACTAACCTCTTAGACATGATGACTTTTGGTGAAAATCTGATTGAAAACACAAATTATCATATCTTTTACTCGTTTAGAACAATTGTAAATACATGTAGTTAAAGATTGGGCTCTTGGATTATACCCCACAGTCTGACTGATAGTGTCAGATCTGGGTACCATCGAAATGTACCCTGGGTACAAATTGATATATTAAACTGTACCCACACTTCGGCAACCATGTCGTTTTATACCCTGTCCATATCTATTTGTAACCAGATTTCCGAAATGTCGCGACAGGCTATGTTGTAAACTCATACACATCCGGTTTACAGCATTGTCCATCATGTCCACTCCTGCACGTGTAAGACAAAAAGAACTTGCAAATACTTTACGATCAATAGAGGATTGATGTCGTAAAAGTTTCCCGCAGAGAAAAAACAACATGGGTACAAATAGATATGGGCAGGGTACAAAACGACATGGTTCCTGAAGTCTGGGTACAATTTAATATATCGATTTGTACCCTGGGTACATTTCGAAGGTACACAGATCGAGAGTGACCCTACAGGCCACAGTCTGTTGTCAATTTTTAATAGTATGAAAATGAGACTTGTCTCTATGTTATGTATTAACACTTAGTTTGATACACAGTGTATCAGATAAACAAAGTGATGTTTCAACTACTTCAATCCAAATTGATTAGGACCCTCAATTTACCCGAAACTACATAATCCCCCTTCAAGCATAATGAATAAAAACAACACAAAGGATGAGGATAGCAACTTTTCAATGTCTTACCAGTTTGAGGTGAGTGTGGCCCTCCCATAATTCATATCATTTGAGCGGAGAAATAATGACCCTTTTCTTTCTACACCAAAATCTGGTATATCCCATGTTTGGGAGGCCATCCTTTCTGTATAGGTTGTTGCAGAAATAAATAACTGGAAAAATTCTGTGGTGGTTTACATTGACAGCGGAAGTAACCCAACAACACACTTTTCACTCTTCATATGACTCCGACTGTAACATAGTTCCCTATTTAAAGGGATGTTCTTTACATATGTTATCTATTCTCGAACAGATATCTATCCAATTCAGTTAAAAGTAAATAGAAAGTAGATGTTAATGCAATCAAAACATTTTGAATACTTATATATTATTGCGCGGATAATAGTTCGTCCCTTAGCAACAAACACCCAACTAGGATCCCGTCTGTGAAACAGATCAAATGGCGCAAGATTTTTGGCGTATAGTACTAAAAATATCCAGTTTCATCAGCGCTCTTGTAAGTGATGTCGTTTGCACAGCGGTATTATGTTGTTTTCACTGAATTCAAGCTTTAAACATTATTGTGTTGGGGATATTAAATAATTAAAAGTCTAAGTCTTTGTTATGGTTGGTAAATAAATTCTATTACAACTGGATAAACTCCAAGACTATTATTAGATTTTTAGTTGCGTGTGACGGAAGTAGACTCCATTGTGTAGCTAAAATCCTGTGTGAACTAAAGCGTTGTAAGAGCGGCTCGTTGGTCTAGGGGTATGATTCTCGCTTTGGGTGCGAGAGGTCCCGGGTTCGAATCCCGGACGAGCCCTCATATCTTTTGCTCTTTTTGTATAATAACACTGTTGAAACCCTGATAACGTTATCAATACAAATTGAAGGGCCCCAACAAGCGTGAATTAATTGCCGACCGTTTCATGACAGACTAAAACAAACGTACTGCAGTGATAGACACCAAAAACAACAGCTCTTATCGTCATAATGAAAATGAACAGAATCAGTAGCGAAATATATGAAAGATAATTCCAGATTTAAAAATGACCTCCAAGCGTAAATGACATGTAAATATTTCCCTATGAGGATTAATTACCTTCTTCGTTGGACACTACGAATTCATCCCATTTATTTCCGTCCCTTAGTAGACACTGTTTGATAATCATCCGAGTGCAGAGCGTTTATTTGTATACACATAGCAAATGTGTTCGTGTGTATACACAGTAAATGTGTTTACGTGTATACACATAGTAAATGTGTTTACGTGTATACACATAGCAAATGTGTTTATGTGTATACACATAGCAAATGTACTTACGTGCATACACATAGCAAATGTGTTTGTGTGTATACACATAGTAAATGTGTTTACGTGCATACACATAGTAAATGTGTTTGTGTGTATACACATAGTAAATGTGTTTACGTATATACACATAGTAAATGTGTTTGTGTGTATACACATAGTAAATGTGTTTATGTATATACACATAGTAAATGTGTTTATGTGTATACACATAGTAAATGTGTTTGTGTGCATACACATAGTAAATGTGTTTACGTGCATACACATAGTAAATGTGTTTATGTGTATACACATAGTAAATGTGTTTACGTGTATACACATAGCAAATGTGTTTATGTGTATACACATAGCAAATGTGTTTACGTGTATACACATAGCAAATGTGTTTATGTGTATACACATAGTAAATGTGTTCGTGTGTATACACATAGTAAATGTGTTTACGTGCATACACATAGGAAATGTGTTTATGTGTATACACATAGCAAATGTGTTTATGTGTATACACATATCAAATATGTTTACGTGTATACACATAGCAAATGTGTTTACGTGTATACACATAGTAAATGTGTTCGTGTGTATACACATAGCAAATGTGTTTATGTGTATACATATAGTAAATGTGTTTACGTGCATACACATAGCAAATGTGTTTATGTGTATACACATAGCAAATGTGTCTATGTGTATACACATAGTAAATGTGTTTATGTGTATACACATAGTAAATGTGTTTACGTGTATACACATAGCAAATGTACTTACGTGCATACACATAGCAAATGTGTTTATGTGTATACACATAGTAAATGTGTTTACGTGCATACACATAGCAAATGTGTTTACGTGTATACACATAGTAAATGTGTTCGTGTGTATACACATAGCAAATGTGTTTATGTGTATACATATAGTAAATGTGTTTACGTGCATACACATAGCAAATGTGTTTATGTGTATACACATAGCAAATGTGTCTATGTGTATACACATAGCAAATGTGTTTATGTGTATACACATAGTAAATGTGTTTACGTGCATACACATAGCAAATGTGTTTATGTGTATACACATAGCAAATGTACTTACGTGCATACACATAGCAAATGTGTTTGTGTGTATACACATAGTAAATGTGTTTACGTGCATACACATAGTAAATGTGTTTGTGTGTATACACATAGTAAATGTGTTTACGTATATACACATAGTAAATGTGTTTACGTGCATACACATAGTAAATGTGTTTATGTGTATACACATAGTAAATGTGTTTACGTGTATACACATAGCAAATATGTTTATGTGTATACACATAGCAAATGTACTTACGTGCATACACATAGCAAATGTGTTTGTGTGTATACACATAGTAAATGTGTTTACGTGCATACACATAGTAAATGTGTTTGTGTGTATACACATAGTAAATGTGTTTACGTATATACACATAGTAAATGTGTTTGTGTGTATACACATAGTAAATGTGTTTACGTATATACACATAGTAAATGTGTTTATGTGTATACACATAGTAAATGTGTTTGTGTGCATACACATAGTAAATGTGTTTACGTGCATACACATAGTAAATGTGTTTATGTGTATACACATAGTAAATGTGTTTACGTGTATACACATAGCAAATGTGTTTATGTGTATACACATAGTAAATGTGTTCGCGTGTATACACATAGTAAATGTGTTTACGTGCATACACATAGGAAATGTGTTTATGTGTATACACATAGCAAATGTGTTTATGTGTATACACATATCAAATATGTTTACGTGTATACACATATCAAATATGTTTACGTGTATACACATAGCAAATGTGTTTACGTGTATACACATAGTAAATGTGTTCGTGTGTATACACATAGCAAATGTGTTTATGTGTATACACATAGTAAATGTGTTTACGTGCATACACATAGCAAATGTGTTTATGTGTATACACATAGCAAATGTGTCTATGTGTATACACATAGTAAATGTGTTTATGTGTATACACATAGTAAATGTGTTTACGTGTATACACATAGCAAATATGTTCGTGTGTATACACATAGCAAATGTGTTTGTGTGTATACACATAGTAAATGTGTTTACGTGTATACACATAGCAAATGTGTTTACGTGTATACACATAGCAAATGTGTTTATGTGTATACATATAGCAAATGTGTTTGTGTGTATACACTTAGTAAATGTGTTTACGTGTATACACATAGCAAATGTGTTTACGTGTATACACATAGCAAATGTGTTTACGTGTATACACAGCAAATGTGTTTATGTGTATACACATAGCAAATGTGTTCGTGTGTATACACATAGTAAATGTGTTTACGTGTATACACATAGCAAATGTGTTTATGTGTATACACATAGCAAATGTGTTTGTGTGTATACACATAGTAAATGTGTTCGTGTGTATACACATAGCAAATGTGTTTACGTGTATACACATAGTAAATGTGTTTACGTGTATACACATAGTAAATGTGTTTACGTGTATACACATAGTAAATGTGTTCGTGTGTATACACATAGTAAATGTGTTTACATGCATACACATAGTAAATGTGTTTGTGTGTATACACATAGTAAATGTGTTTATGTGTATACACATAGCAAATGTGTTTGTGTGTATACACATAGTAAATGTGTTTACGTGTATACACATAGCAAATGTCTTTACGTGCATACACATAGCAAATGTGTTTATGTGTATACACATAGCAAATGTGTTTATGTGTATACACATAGCAATTGTGTTTATGTTTATACACATAGCAATTGTGTTTATGTGTATACACATAGCAATTGTGTTCGTGTGTATACACATAGCAAATGTGTTTACGTGTATACACATAGTAAATGTGTTTGTGTGTATACACATAGCAAATGTACTTACGTGCATACACATAGCAAATGTGTTTACGTGTATACACATAGCAAATGTGTTCGTGTGTATACACATAGTAAATGTGTTTACGTGTATACACATAGCAAATATGTTCGTGTGTATACACATAGCAAATGTGTTTGTGTGTATACACATAGCAAATGTGTTTGTGTGTATACACATAGGAAATGTGTTTACGTGTATACACATAGCAAATGTGTTTACGTGTATACACATAGCAAATGTACTTACGTGCATACACATAGCAAATGTGTTTATGTGTATACACATAGTAAATGTGTTTACGTGCATACACATAGCAAATGTGTTTATGTGTATACACATAGCAAATGTGTTTACGTGTATACACATAGTAAATGTGTTCGTGTGTATACACATAGCAAATGTGTTTATGTGTATACATATAGTAAATGTGTTTACGTGCATACACATAGCAAATGTGTTTATGTGTATACACATAGCAAATGTGTCTATGTGTATACACATAGTAAATGTGTTTATGTGTATACACATAGTAAATGTGTTTACGTGTATACACATAGCAAATGTACTTACGTGCATACACATAGCAAATGTGTTTATGTGTATACACATAGTAAATGTGTTTACGTGCATACACATAGCAAATGTGTTTACGTGTATACACATAGTAAATGTGTTCGTGTGTATACACATAGCAAATGTGTTTATGTGTATACATATAGTAAATGTGTTTACGTGCATACACATAGCAAATGTGTTTATGTGTATACACATAGCAAATGTGTCTATGTGTATACACATAGCAAATGTGTTTATGTGTATACACATAGTAAATGTGTTTACGTGCATACACATAGCAAATGTGTTTATGTGTATACACATAGCAAATGTACTTACGTGCATACACATAGCAAATGTGTTTGTGTGTATACACATAGTAAATGTGTTTACGTGCATACACATAGTAAATGTGTTTGTGTGTATACACATAGTAAATGTGTTTACGTATATACA